TATGCTATATTTTTGGTATTATTTATAATAAAAAAAATACGAAACATAAATACAATAAAGCTTAGTATAATAATATAGAGTAAGATACATTTTTATTACTGGAAATGCCCTAAGTAATCCTAGTGCCCTTATAGTTGACTATAGGTGACCTTTTCATACTTTAGAGCTATAATTTGAGTGAACATATTTTAGTCTATTGACAGTCATTGAAGTGTTCAAGTGTTTTCATTAAATTTTTATACTTCAATTTTTTAAATACATTTGAAATGGAAATTGTTATGAAAGCAGTATCAAAAATGAAATTAATGGCTATGACATCCTGTACAAATCCAGTCGAGATTTATGCTCGAGGTGTCTCCGAGTTCGATGAACGTTCTAAATCAAAAATTTATGTTTCGTATTTTTTTTATAATAAATAATAATAATAATAATAATAAATAATACCAAAAATATAGCAGTGTCTATGCATTATATTAAAATTTTTTTTTTAAAGAATATTGATTAGTGGGACACTGTTTAAAATTTTTAAAAATTGTTCTTTTTTTCCTTTGTTCTTTTTTCCGTGTTCTTTTTTACTTGTTCTTTTTTCCGTGTTCTTTTTTTCCTTGGTCTTTTTTACCAATTACCATATTGTATACATCACTATTGACTTTAACACAAGTATAAAAGTTCTTAATAATAAAAAATCATTAGCACACAATATATATATATCATACATCATCTTAAGAAAAACGTATATAGTTGAGCTACTGCAGTGTTACACAAATCTGTATATGTATACGGTCGTTCAGTCATAGCATGCAATGTAATTTTCAACAGATTTTGAACATATTTGCAATTGAATCATTACTCAAATAAACAGTTGGTGCAGAATACCTTTTTGGACCAATTCACTAAAAACAATTTACATGAGAATAATAAAATGTCAATGAACTTGAACCATAAGGTAAAAACAAGCCGTTAAGAATAGTTCACATAGAATAATTCAACCACAAAAATTTGTAAAATACAATCAAGGTTGTAACATAGAAAACACCTGTTATGAGTAGCAGAGAATGTTTTCGACATTCCATTACGATTTCTTTTTCTCAAATCGTATCCAAGGTTTTAATTTTTGCAACATAAATGTTTAGTTCATAGTTCGTATAAACAAAAGTATTTCAATGGTAACTATATATGCGTGCAGAAATTCAGTAGTAGAGTATAAGCGGATAATATCGAAAAACCGAGGACACAAGATGTAACCAGTGACGAGGCCGTGAGTCTTTAAAAGAGAAATAAATGCTATCAAAGGGGCGAGGCGCGCATGACTCAGTGTGTCGTATTCCGAGGGGAACGACCCTTTGTATTGAACATTACTAACACACGTTGCAGGCAATGTGGCTGCATCTATGGGGAGGGATTAAAATATAACTCAATTCGGCATGTAAAGTTGGTACTGTTTTGTTTTATATGCCTCACCACAATTTTTTTTATAGATTTTTATGATATATTATTCTAGAAGGATAATAACGTGATTATTATTATTTTTATATTTCTCTGTTATTTGAGTTTTAGCATTATATTTTATTGCTGAGTTCCACAGTAAATACGTTGTTCTTGTACAATGGTACCTATAAGTAACATACTTAAGCCGAGAAGTGTAAACAATGAATTTAATGAAATTACATAGTAATAGGATTAGAAAATCGTAAGAGATGGTAGGCTGAGGTGTTTACAGCGGTGGGGGTGGCAATGAAGGGAGCATGTAGTTTTTTAAAAAACTCCTCAGTTTAAATAATATTTTAGAGTGATACATTCAATACAAATACATGACAATTAATGTCTTAACGATAAGTGGGGGGAGGGAGATAAGAAAAAAATAGTATAAAGTTCACTTTAGTCTCTAGAAATGAAAGTTCTGTAATTAATATTCTTCGTATAATATTACGTTTGTACATTTAAGATTTAAAAATTACATTGGTACACGACTAAATATAAACATACCACAGCTCGGTAACAACAACATATTCTTCAGCTCAAAGAAAAGGATATATTTTCATTCCTTATTGAAGCTAAAACAGCATTTTTCCTTACTGAATTTAAAATTTCTTATGCTTGTTTTTTTATGTTTTGCTCTATTTTACTATTTTAAAATTTGTTACCAGTGCGAAGTTTCTGCTGAATACTGATTGTATAATTTCAGTTTTGGTACTTAGTAGGTAGTTCTATATAATATGTAGATATCTAGTAACTACTACCATTATAACGTAGATATCCAGGTATTTATATATTTATTTTGCTGTCATTGCTATTAACTACGTCATGGAGATTTAAGATTTAAACAGTTTTCAAAAAATGGGTCTGGGTATATTGTCATATTGATATTTAAAGAGTTAAAGACAGTAAAAACGAAAACAAATCACACGAACGGTAATTTTAATTATAAAATTGTTATCACTGCACTTTTTACTTGTTTTTTTTTTTAGTTGGAAGGCCCCAATTAATAATCTTATGGGTGTTCGGTTTTAGTAGTTCTACCGACCTACCACCACTTAGTATACACTGAAGCGTGGATGTTGCATATCTTACGTCGAGTACAATTCAAACATATTATTGTCGTTTCTTCAACGCGAATTTAATATTATGTTGAATTGATGAATACGGTTTGTTTCATCAATATAAAATATAAATGGTTCAAATGAAACAATTAAATTGAATAATTTTAGTTTTGTGCTATAAGGAGTGGCGAAGGCGGAGGGGGATAATCGAGGGCCGGACGACACTGCGTTTTTTAAATAGTGGTGAGTGAGTAATGGCTAATAGGTGACAATGAAGTATTAAGTACCTATTAACTATAGTAGTATAGACCTATTTTAGAAATAACTACAACAGGTAGTTACCAATATTATAGTGATTGCCTTTATCTGGTTCAGTTATTAACCTGCTTATTGGTGTTACTAGGTGGGTGAAGTATTAAACTAGCCTCTGAACAATATTTCAAGTTCACCATGCCACTACATGCCATTGATCTAGGCTAAAGTCACTATGCATTAAATAACATTTGTAATATAGTGCTTGATATGAAATTGCATGGCATTATTTAAATAAAATAAAATAAATTTTAAATCAATTCATTACCTACATTATTCCAAAAAACTGATTATTCCCTGTTTGACAAAAATATTTGTAGTTATTTAAGGTTAATTAGAAATTAATAACAAATTTAAGAAATTACAAAACTGTTGGAAGGAACGGTACCAGAACATTTTAAAAAGGAGAGGTGGCTCAAATTAAGTCGGTGAATTGGTGATACGCCTTTTAATTTTAGTTGATTAATGCAGAAGATTTTTTTTGAAATGTTATGTAAAATTTAAATAGGTTTTATCAACATAAAAAAACATTTGTTGTTGTTTTATATTATGAGTAATAAGTACCCAAAACTAAGACAAAGTGAATCTTTTTTCACAATACATACAACTAATTCAGAATTAATATAAAAAGAGAATATCAAGAAAAAAACGATATACTTTTAAATGTTACTGATTAATCTATTAACTTCAAATTATTTACATATTTTAAAACCGTTATTTTTTTTATGCATTTTTTTTTTAAACTTGTCAATAACTTCTCTAGACATTTTAATATACCTATTCAGAAGTTTAAGTCTTATTATTCAGTCTTCCCTGAGAAGAAAATGTTCTTTTAATCATTGGTAAGACATAAATCATTTTAAACAACTCTTTAATTTTTATACTAAAATAAGATGTACTGGCATTCTTTATAGTAGTTATAGGTTTAATCAATCAGAATTTCTAAAATCGATTTTAACTAAGTAACATCACCTTGAATTTCTCCAATTAAGCCCTAATAACAATAACATTGTTGTAGTACAATTTGGCCATTCAACCATTTTATTAAAATGTTTCACTGGCATAAATTATTTGACAACTACATAAGTATTTTAATAACTAAATTAATTTTATCAGCGACATAGACTAGTATGCCTGAGCTCCCGAATCTCTCCTTGAATCTGTGCCTAACTGTTGGAACTATTTATACAAATACATAAAAAAAAAAAAATGATCTACTATTAATAAGACAAAATAATATCTTTGTATTAGATAACATTTCTGTAGTTTCTACTGACATAAACCGAGTTTTTAAATTAGAAGAAACTTATATCTTAATGTAAAGGTACAGTTGTAACTGTTAATTGCTAATGTTTAGTAGCTAATTTTAACTTAAGCTTGAATACACTAATGTTACATTGTCAATACTCATACACTTCATAGAATTATGATTCATTAAATAATACTTTATTATTTAATCAATGGTATTAATCTAAAAATAATAAATAATATATTATAATATCTTCAATCAAAATTTAAATAAATAAATTTATTATGCATTAATTTGTACAACTAATTTTCCTTCACAAATTGAAATTGTATTTCATAAATGTTTTCTTAAACATACACAAGATTGCAATTTTATGTTGTATATTTTTATGTAAATATCGAGGATTATTGATAAATAAGTTAAAAATAATAAAATATAAATTGATATTCATAAGGTTTATAATATTATGAAAACATCTCTAAGTGGCTGTATAAACTATTAACGTTAATAAGTATGAAAAAATAAAAATAAAAATTGCATAATAGAGTAATCTAAAATCAATAACAAAGAAATGCCCAATAAATAACACAATTACATACTCTATGAACATTTATTTAATCGTATCAAAATATGATACACATTACACAGTAAAATTAAAACTTTAGGAAAAGCAGGTAAATTATTTTAATATCATATAAAAAAACAGTCAGTTTAACTTTTTTTCTTTTTTTTTTAATATACAAATTAACAGAAAAAAAAACATTTGGTTTTGAATAATATTATATTTCACGAATTTATTATATAGATGTGAATAAAAAAAACCCCCTATCGGTCAAACAAAACTTAAATATTACAATATTACTTTCCTCGTACATAATTACCCTAATAAATATTCAATCTTTAAGCATTTTTTTTAGTTTTTTTTTTTTTTTTTATCAATTTCATTAACCATACGAATACTAATAACCAGACACGCGTGACTTATGATAATATGTACACATATATAATATGTCATTAAAATATGATGAGACAAAATTCAGTATCTATTTAAAATTCTAAAAACATCTACAAATTTATATATTCACGAAGTTGAGGTAATAAATCGCAATTTGTTTTCTTATCATCTGATATTTAAACTTCCTAAAAAAAAATCACTTAAAACAAATTAGGTATTTATAAATATAAACATTAGACTATACAGTTTCTTTACAAATATATTTTTTTTAATGTAATGGACGATTGATTTTAAATTTGTCTATTTACTGTTCAGTTTTTATGTCGTATAAATTAGAAAAAAAATTGTCTGGTACAGATTAAGTGATGATTCTACTATATTTAAAGAAGGCTCTACCTGTATAATTAATCAATATTAATATTGCACCCTAAAGTATAACTGACCATATTTGTTGATAAATCTATTTTCATAAATGTATATGTATTAATATATATATATATAATATATTATACGTCATTATATATAAATATATAATATACATATTAAAAAAAAAATTAAAACAGTGGTGGGGATAATTATTTATATCACATATTATTCATGTCCTCAGGAGCTGTTTTTCAGACAACAACTTGTTCAGGAGGTAATGTTGGGTCTGCAGGAGGATCTGATGGAGCAACACTCTGTGTTTCTGATTTCGCGGACCACTGTGTCCCTGCTTTAGTTTTATCATAAGGCACATTGCGACCTGCCCTACGTCTTTCACGTTTCTCTTCCATAATCAAACGTAAGCGTTCCATTTTTCCACGGGTAGCTGCATTTTCTTTGGTCTCACTCTCTATAAAACAAATTGAATTCAATAATTTATATTATATGTCTTAGTGTTTATAGGACGTCTTATCGATTTCTTACCGGTATTATCAGAATTAGCAGACGTTTGAGCGGACATACTATTTGCTGTGGCAAATGGTGTAGCAGCTTGAGCAGCTGCTGCAGTAGGAGAAAGTGTAGTGGCTGTGCAGACAGCTGGTGTGCCTGATCTAGCAGCAGCTCTGTACTGTGGTGTAGCACATAGTAAATCATTAAGTATGTGAATAATCGTACTAATGTCACGTTTTGGACGGCCGAAGCGATCTTGTAAGGCTGGATTTAAGGTGCCTATAATAATAAACAATTAATAAGAAAAAAATTGTTGGAGAAAACACAATTTTTCGGAAAATATATTGTTGGTGGTTCAAAAATTGCTGGTGCAACCCATGAAGTTAATGGCAGATATATATGTAGTTTTATGTTTTCAGCCAAGAAGCCTTAGGCCAACTTAACTGTAGGAAACCATGGAAGAGATGCATAAAGCCTTAGTAAGTATTTAAAAATGAATATAAAATTTACCAGAAAATGTTCCAGAGTAAACGCCTTTGCCGTGATGTTGCATGCTCTCGATTATTGCACCTGGTCTTCGTTTGAACCCAATGTGCATCTAAAAAATAACGAAAAAATGCATTGAATAAAGATAAACAATCAACTCATTTAAAACAATTTAAGAAAAATCTATAATTCACAAAACGTTCATTAAAACAATTAAAAATAAACCGAATAGAATTTCAACATGTATAACCAGCAATTTTAAAGTGTAGATATTGTTATAGGTACCCGCATTATGATCTATGACTATATGAATAAATGCTGATGAGTTCACAGAATTACATAAAAATGACATATTAATTATTATACAATCAAAAATAAATATTGATACTATTGCTTACGCCCAATACTATGATTTGGAACGATTAAATACTAAGGAATAACTTGCAATTTTATAACTTAATTACTTTTATAAACTTAAGTTTTTGGCTTTTTATTAAATATAGATACAGTTTCTAATATTCAAGTCCAAACAAATAAACAAATGAAGAGTGAATTAAATTACAAAAAGCAAGTATGAAGTTCCGAATTAACTTCGTACACATATGTTAGTTGACATCCAAAAAAAGAAACCAACATAATTATACATACATTATGAATTATGATGTAGACGGTTATACGTAAATATACTTTAGGTATGGTCAAAGAGGGCGTCACATAATATTATCAGTATAAGGCGGCAAAACGTTGGTTTTTGCGAAAAGACATTTTGGGAGAAGTAACCATCCAAGAAACACCGTTTTGCACCGCCCAAAAAACGTCGTAATACGCGATCGCCAACGATGCGTAGAAGAATTCAAGAATGTGAAGTCGTCGAGATGACGATAAAACACATGCAAATTAAAAAAATTTAAAGTCCAACATAAAATATGTAATTTTACGATCAGTGACGAGGCGAATTTGAAATTGTTCAGATAGATATTTTTCAGTATAAATAATACAATATTCAACCTGCCCACACGCAAAACATGATAAAAGGTATTTACTGTCATATTTTAAGTACCCATCGAAGTAAACATGAAAGTACAGGGAAAGAATACTATAGATTGGCCACTACCAACCCACCCAACCACCGCCCTTTAAAAAGGTGGCAGCCTTTCAATTACCCCTTCACCCAAGTTCCGATAATATTATTATAATAATTTACGAGCGCCACAAGATACCGGTTGTGATGTTATGCTAAAATTTTATATTCTAATCGGCGAGATGACGGTGGGCGGTTAGTGGTGGTGGTGATGGTGGGAGGGTGGTGCGGGTAGAGGGAAAAAGCAACGACCTGCCTCAAAATTGGCAGCCACCCAACGATGCGCGGCGGCTGCGTCCGTCCGATGCACAACGCGCGGGGTGGCAGCGGCGCCCAGAGGACATATCGTCGTCGTCGGCTGCTGCGACGGCGGCGTCCGGGCCACAGTAACCGACCGTAGGGGGGAGCTGGTAGCCCGCGCCCCGCGGGGAGACAGGGGAACAGCCGTAAAGGAGTATGAGAGCAGCGTGATCAATATACGGTCGAGGGGGGCTGCGTCGACGGCGGTGAGCCCCGCCGGGCAGGACGACCGGATCGATTGGTGCGGCGGCAACGACGCCCGGCGCGCGACCGAAAAAAAGAGTAACCTCTCCTCCGTCGGTTACCACACGGCACGCGGCGCGACCACCCTTGGCAACGAGTTTTTCGTCTCCGAGTAAACAACAACGCACCGCCGCATCCAACCGAAAATGCACGAGGGCGACGGAATACATATATTATTATTATTATTATTATAATTATTACACACACAGATGTGTGTGCCTGTGACGATTAATGCGCCGTGGACGTGTGGGTGTTGACCAGCAGCGGGCCCACAGACAGACGCCCGACAACGGCGGGCTCCCACATTTCGTGTAAACGGCGTGTGTGTGACGAGTATTATATTACGATAGGGACGCGTGGGAGTACATTATAATAACGATAATAATCATAGCAATAACGTGAGCGACTGTAGGTAGGTAGAAAAGATACGCGGTCGAGTATAGTTTGTATCTATCCGTCGTCGGGCGTACGCGTATAATATAGAATAATAATTCACAGTATTCGAATGTAGCGACGGGACTCAATACCAACGCGGTGCAGTGCCGGCGAAGGAGTTTGAAAAAAAAATAATCTTAAGTCGTATTTATATTTTATCGTGCCAACGGGACACGGACGAATATAAACCAACGCTGCCCGGAGGAGGAGACCCCCTGACACACACACACAAGCGTGCACCATAGGAAAACACGAAATTAAAATGTCACCGTATCTGCAGTGACAACAAAAAAAAAATTATATGCGTGTAGACCAATAGTCTGGAAATGAATTTATAAATTTAAAAAATGTATGCACGTAGCATGTTACATTATAATAATATATTCCTAGAAATCGGATTCACTTAGAGAGTAAATAGTTATTATATTAATGGCCTATGCCGGTGAAGGAGTAAGAGTGGCCTAAAAAATACACTCGAGATGTGACAGACTATTATAAAAATATTATTTGTTCCATAGCACATGGCATACGGATTCAGACATCCAGTGTACCTACTGAAAGATGTTCGACGAGTTGTCAGTTACATTCTAGAACCAGATGGTTTCCCAAAGAAGTTAACCTTATTTAACTATAATTTTAAAAACTCGTTTTAGCCGTATTTTCTGCGATATGGGTGTTTTAAAAATACATTTTAGCAAATACGGCAGTGACCTTAGGTTGTAAAAAAAACAAGGATCTACAAGCTGATTACGAGATGTATAATTGTCAAAGTGAAAGTAATACTGAACTGCAAATGAATGCCTACTATGTATATTGTATATTGTATATTCTGCCAATTTTCTTATATTAATTATTGTAAATCACTGAAAAGAAACTAAAAATTGTGTTGATTATTATATAAACTTCAGTAATCCATCTGTTATAAGTTTATAATTTACAAATACCAGGTAGATTTATTATAAATTAAATATAATGTTCAATTCAATTTTTTTATTAGGGCCACAAGAAAAAATGTTCAGTGATTATTATTCGTTAAATATCTAATCCATTAATTTAATAGTACATTATATGAAATTGAAGTAGATAATAAATTGACTGTTAGTTTTAGATGAAACCCCTTCTGCAGCATTCCATTTTTAACCAATGCGTAATTTTTCGCTTATCAAACAATCAAAGATAATTACCGAGTCGTATTATTGTATAATACATTTTCTTTGAATGATACGGCGTACAAAAATGTATTCCATTTAACTGGTATATTTGTTTATATGAATATATATTTATTTGGTCGCAATGTAACATGTAAGTTAACATAATATCATATATATATATATGAGTTCGAAAAGCTAATTATCTACCTTCTAGTTATATTGAACGATTAGTATAAATAATGAATGTCGACACATGGAAAATAATGTCTATTATTTCTCAACGGAGAAAATATAAGAATTTAATCAATTTTCATTAGGGCGTGTTTTGAAAAATAATACATACCTATTAAAATATTAGTAAAATATTTAAAGGAAATTAATACTAATATTCAATAATTATCTAATTTGAAATAATGCTTTAGAACTAAGGAACTAAATTCTCGTTGGAAATTATAAACACAAATGTTGAAACGTCTAATAATACATCGTAAATTGTGTAAAAAAAACATTTGCAAATTAATTATACACATTTATAGATATTCAAGCAAGGTGTAGTTTTTGAGAAAGAACAGTAAAAGTACAACTTAATTGTAATTGATGAGATCAGCGCAGAAAACGTTTGGGATATTTAGGATAAGATAAGATAGAATTTATTGTTAAAATCTTTGGAACTTTTCAATTCAAATTTTTTTTAAAACTGGTAACTTAAGATAAAATTATTACGAGGTTGTGCTACATAAATGTATTACAAAAAACAACTGTAATAATAGTGATATATTGTCTTGTAATATAATTTTTGTTTATAATAGCAATAGTTAATATTTGAACAATAAAAATAGAACAAAATCAATAACACTGTTAACATATAAATAATTAGAGTAGGTACTGTACAATAATAATTGATATCTAACATGCAAAATCTATACCAAGAATATACGTAAAATAAAAAATAAAAAATAATAGTAAGAAAGCACTGAACGATCATTATATTTTGATGTTATTCTTATTAAGTATTACTTATGAATATTGTTTAATTTAAAATAAAATATTAGGTGTCTGTTGATTATTCATGCCTGGTTATTTAGGTAAGGTGTGTCACTTACAAATGTATTAGTTTTTACAATACAAAAATAAACTATTTAACGACTAACGATCTAAATTTAATATATTTTATAGTGTTGAAACATAATATCACAGGTGCATAATTAATTTCACAAGACAAAGAACGCATATTGCGTTTTTTTAAATCATACTTAATGAATCCCATGAAAACAAATATATAAATTAATGCATTATATATAGACACACATATGCACATTACACACACACACACACTAATAGTTGATTAAATGTTAGTATTTTTAATAAAACAACTCTAGTTTAGATGTTGTTTTAAAATCATTTAAATTGGAATTATAGCGAAAGAAACATATATATTATAGAGAAATTATAATAATATGAGTTCAAAATCTAAAGTAGTTCATTATACTTTAATTTAAAATATAAAAAAGTATTTTTCTTAATACAAACTGTATTATATTTGTATTTTGGACCTTCATCATAATTATAATTAATAAAATAATAAAGTAACTTTATAGTAACTATATACCAGACAATATTGATTTAAATAATTTTTATTCTGTTACTGTTTATAAATTATATAATGACGGGTAACCGTAAATTATGATGGCTACTTAAAACAGGCAACATGGTTCGTAATTTAAATAATAGTATTCTAATAGTTATAACTTATTATTTATAATCATAAGATTTTGAATACGCAAAATAAAATAAAAAATACGTTTTCTATGCTACATCAAAATATAATATAAAGAGATTCAAGTATTTAACGTAAACAAATACATTATTATTTGTGTATATTAGAGAACTAAATAAAAACAACTATTCATGACATTACATTATTTTCTGGGCTCATGTAGGAATATAAGATTCACATAGAGCAAAGAACACTTTAATAGTTATATGTGGCGTATGCGTAGGAGTTGGTCACACGCGGGGGATGACAAAAAGAAACATCGGGTGGGCGACGCCCACAGGACCATTGTCCATTAACAACCCCTTCACAACACGTACTCACGATGAATAAAACATTTAATGCTTAGATCTATTTTGTGCTTGTTATTTTAAAATCGGTGCTACAACAATGAATACTTAATATACTATGATGTTTTATTTCTTATAGAAGTAGATTACGAATAACTAAAATTAGAAAAGCACTTGACCGAAGAAGAATAAAATCAGCAGTTCATAATACCTATATCGTGCATATAAAATAGTTTGTAATAATCTAATAATAATTATTACTTAATTGCTCATTTTTTTAGATTATGCGTACAGAAGAAATACGTCAATAAAGTTGTATCGATATTATTTTATTGTCCCAGCATTAAAATAGTGAAATGTTTGATCATTTTTTCTCAAATGGTATAGGCACAGAGTAGATGTATATAATAATAAATAGAAAAGACAGAATGTCGATGTTTTCGTAATGTGTACATAAATAGGAGATTCAGTAAATAGTAGAAGGAGTAAGGGGAAAGTAGTACTCGACTCAGTATATCTATTGATTGCCACCGGCGGTTCGGTCCGCTCTATTTGCCGTAGAGTTTATTTTTTACGCGTCTCCGAGGCGGCCCAGGCGGAATCGACACAGTTACCAGACACCGTTGTCCGGCGAACTGGAACACCGAGTACCGTAAAACACGGATCTCGTTTACGGTTACGTTTTACGAATCGTCCGCTGGAGGCACACGGGTTTAACCGTTGTAGCGGGGAAAGCAGATTTTAAGCAAAAACCTATATTCCATATTTCTAAATAATTGTTTTACATATTATTATGTTTTAACGAATGTACATTCCGCCCAAAAAACAACAATACAATACACTAACTATAAATATACAAATAAAAAATAAAGGTACTGTATGATCTATTTAAAGCGGAATGGAAGAGAAAAAATACACGTATATCCGTTTAGTATAAAATCTTTTGTCGGGAATTATAAAAATATAATAAACTTCCGCAGTATTCAGATACCTATAGTTTTATTTCAGTTTTTCGACGGATTCGGTTGTATACATAATTTAAACAAGGTCAAAGTGATAAGAGAAAATTTGACGAATAAAATATAAGACGCAAGAAATGTTATACACCGCGTGTCGGTACAGAGTTAAAACGTTTTAGAAACTACATTCAAATCAAGACAACTATTTAAATTATAAATATAGAATAACGTCGAGTTATCCAGTAGTATGTTATGTCTATAGTACATACAAAATAAATAATACGTACACCCACCAACGCGTCTCATTGTTTTCGGCATTTCTAGAGGGCTTGCACATTTGAAAACAGAAGGAGTGAAAGAGAGAGAGAGAGAGAGAGTCGATCAATGGGAAACAAGGTACCTGTGTGTGTGTGTATAGCAACGCCGAGTACACAACACAAAAGGTCGCACTGGCCCGGGGCCTTTGTGATAAGCGACCTCCCGCGTGATCAATATGACGTCGATTTCACTGTGGCGGCCTAACCACGCCCCACAGGGATACCCGGATTCTGCTGGGCCGCCGCGGCATTTTTGTACACGCATCGATGTACAGTACTTGCACATAATACAAACTAAATGAATTAAATACAGACAGACGAAAATAGGTACACCGACCAAAAAACGTGATGGGCACCAAAAACAGCAGTACGTGTTCGCAAAAAAAAAATAGCAGACACACACACACTGCTGCAGCACGCATGTATAAGATCCCATTTCATTTTAATTCTTCCCCCCCCCCCTCCACATCTCTCTCTCTTTCTCCATATTTTTCGTGTCTAATGTTTATTAATTCGGTCGTGCAAAGAAACTCGGCCGTATTTCACCTGGAATTGAGGTCATCGGATGTGTACATTATAATTTATAATATTATACGCCGTGTACGCACAACCAACGCCACTCACAAAGACCGACGACTACGACTATGGAACGGTCGCGGCGGCAGTGGTGTGGGTTAGTGTGTGAACGAGTGACAGCGCGTGTATATAAACGGCAACGTCGACAACAGTCGGCGACACGACTCACCTCTTCTACTCGGCTCGTACAGTGTGTGCGGATGCTGCGGGCCCGCGGCCACACATTGATCATAATAACCCTCGGGACGCGAGAGACGAAATTAGTATACCCCCGGGCCCCGCGCGTTGCCGGAGTGCGACGTTGCCGCCCACGCAACAATCGATACTACGCGACTACGATACGAGACACACGTCCGGGCACAACAAATTTCAATCAATCACCCAGAAAATATCGACTATACGGCATAACACACATACTCGGCGATAATTTTAGACGAGACATACGACGTTGTTGTAGAAATTTTCTACCGCGACGAAAAAAATCCCATTCTCATACCGTTCGGATATTTTAGTTTTTTCGTGATGCCGTTTTGCAAAAAAAAATGAAATACGTGAAAAAAATAATTTGCCACTCACCTCTTTGGAACCGCTTTTCGTGGTGAGGACTTCCGAAGACAGTTGTTTTAGGGTCTGAGTGAGGTTCCGCGAAGCCTCGGCGAGCGCTCGGGTGTCCAGTTGCGGTTTGTCTCCCGTGGCCGTGGCCGTGTTTGGTGACGCGGTAGACGTGCTCGCGTCGCACGAACAAGGCGCCACCGCCGGTGCGGGCGTGGGTACAGCGGCGGCGGCTGCTGCTGCTGCTGCGGCTGCGGCTGCGGCGGCTGCAGCTGTGGCGGCTGCTGCTGCGGCAGCTGCTGCAGCCGCGGCGACTATTGGTGACGGGGCCGGAGGTGACACGTCCTCGGTCGTATCCATCGAGTTGTCGTCGCTGTCGTCGGATACGTTACGAACACGAGTGATCGGATAAGCGTCCACGCCGGGGATCAGTCTAGGGGTGCCGATGATGTTGCCGGCAGAACACGCGGTGGCCGCCGTCGCTGTGGCCTGAGGTGGTTCGGGCGCCACGGTTGACGCGTTCAGTGTGGCTGCCGCTGCACCGGTGCTGGCCACGGTGGAGGCGGCGGTCTGCAGTCGTTTCGACGAACCTGACGACGACACGGTTGATAGTTGTAGCTGGATGAGCATCATGTGATCACCCAGTCTCATTGTAAGGTTTAAAGGTGCTTTGCCCGATAGGAAATCGTTGACCTAAAAACAAAAAACGTAGAAATTTAATATAGGCAATAATATGTTGGTGGCAGTGACGTACATTTATTCAAATTTAAATGTCTAACAAAACAGCATTGTTTCGAGATATTATGAAATTATTATTTATATATACCCAACAGTGGCGTATTTGTGTGTGGGGGGGGGGGGGAGCAGAACCCACACTGACAGAACTTGTATATATATTTTTAAACTACTATATTACTATAGTAACTAGTAACTACAGATGAGTATAATAGTGACTATATTGTACCTATTGTTTAAAAAATGTATTTGTATGATTACATATTGAGTGCATATTGTACCCCCCTCCCCAAAATATAAATGTATAAAACTATAAGTTCAAAACTTGTTTATAAAACTGTTAATTGAGCACCTGAAAAAAATAGATAGGTACACACTTTTGCATCAATATTCGTTTGTAAACTTTCAACGTCAAATTAAAAACAAATTAGGAAATATAAAAAAATGCAAATAGATAATGTATTGTGGTTGTATATCAAATGTATTTACTTTGTTATACAATAAACAACCCGCACAGGTGTAACGAGTGACATATTTTAACAAAAAAAGTGAAGTATGACATTAATTTCCTGATATACCTTTAATATTCTACACACTGCGTAATGATATTTTAAGGCCAGTTTGTATATTAACAACTAGATGCCGACTAAGTTTGAAATTGGACATTAGTTTAATAAGTCTATGATATCAATTTTGAAATAGGTAGTATTTTTTGCAAAAATTAATATTTCTTATGCTTCAAAACGCGAATCAAGAATTCAGTTTTCCGAAATTAAGTAAGAAAATACGATTACAAATTGAAATATACGAACAAATTATGACTACAAATGAAACTATTTTTAAATATTTTTTAAAATATATAAATTCTATTATTGCAGAGAAAATAAATGAATTCCAGAATCTTAAGTATAACTTAGGCACCATCGCTAAATAACAATAATACTTAACAAATATAACTAATTTATAATACCTACTTATTTGTTAAAACTTAAAATCCACACGTCATACATGCATATGCATAAAACAGTATGTAAAGATAGCTGGAAAATAACTTGTCAGTTATCAATTAATATTCAACATATCACAATAATTATTATCGTACATTAAATATATTTCTACTATATTTAACTACATTGAAATTATCACTTACAAAAAATATACGATTTAAATCAGTGCCTCTTTTAAAACATTTTTATACATTCTAAATGTAACGGTGTATAAAACCATTGTTATACACAGTCAGCAGCAAAATATCATGAATCTTTAATCTTCTTTAGTCAAAAGAAATGTATTAAATAAATGGTGAAATTACCTGAGAGTCGTTCAAACTTTCCAACGCCTGCATCACACTTTGTTCTGGTCTCTGAACCTAAAAATAAAAATTAGGCTATAATAAACACAATACAGTATTATACACTATAATATGGGGACATTTTTCAATACTCAGTAAGAATGTATTATTTGTGTACACAGAAATTGTATACATAGGTACTATTACACGTAGCGATAAATATTAATAAAATGTTATCGGCAGGGTGTGGTCCTGGATTAACAAGGTCCCTCTGATAAGGTCAACGCCCGGTTTGGAAGACGGCCCGCCCAATTTTGTAAATATACCGTTTATATTTATCTTATATAGGGTTCCGTGTTCAAGTCTAAATAAAATTTATGTTTTTGTTTTGGCCCAAAAAAAATGTCCATATAACAAATCCGATAGTACTTATTTGGGACACACTGTGTTAACATGGTAAAAATATATTATAACAGTGTTTTTTTTCCCATACTCGTAAACCACGCGATTCGCTTTGCCGACTGTATATCTAGAACGGAATAACGCAACAACACTGATCCACTTTTACACAAAACATATACAACAAGTTTTTAGCACAGACTTATTTTTTTAATAATTGTAACAGTAAAAACACAAATGTTCTATACATAATATATAAAACAGTTTAACAGCAAAGTTCTAAGTAAATAATATTTTAATTCTGAAATTAAAATACTATTATGATTATATATTATAGTATTGACGGTATTGTGTTCATATTTATTTTAAATTAAAATGTTTAAATATTAATTTTTTTATTGTTGTATGCATATTAGTAACTAATAAAGTAATAACTTATTTAAGGTTTACAAAAAAAGAACACAAAATATAAATATTAGAAATATTACGATAAAATATTTACAAACATATTAAATTTAATTTTGTACAATTTAAAACTTTACATGTGGTCAAGACGCAGAGAAAACAAATAAAAATGTATGGAAATTATCAACTGTCAATTTTTTTAATGTGAAATGCAGTAAAAAAAATATAATGATTAAAACGTAGGTCAAATGTTAAATGGTGTTTGCGAAGTTTCCTATCTATTTTTCACTGTAAATCACAAAGGCCAAATAAAAATCTAATGACATTTTATACAAATTAACCCAATTATAAATCATTACTGTGTAATAAACAAACCAAAGAAAAAATTTACCTTGTAATATATTATTAGACCTTATTCACAACAGTGTTAAGTTTAAGACATATCATTTTTATATTACTAGATTTAATAAAGATTTTACTTTAAACAATACAGCGTGAGCCACAATGTTTTTCGTTTACAATTAAGTTAAAACAAGAAAATATAATGACTTATCTTGTTTAGACACTTAACATTTAAAATACTATATAATAAATACTTATTTTAATATTTACATTAAAAAACGAGACACATGTGTTCTGATTTTTCGAATTAGACAGTCATTAATTTTAAATCCTAAATTAATAAAGCATTATATTCTCATGCCGTAATATTAATTCTACCAGATTGCGTATAATTGTTTTAAGTTTAGTTTAACGTTGTTCCTTTTTTTTTTTAAATTCAATAATAAATAGCTTGCATTATTTAAATAACTATTTAAGAATTATAAATTATTATGTCCATCATATCAAAAACATTGTAAATAAATTATTTTGTGATTTATTTAATATCTATAATAATTAAAACTTGTAAGTTAAACATTTTGTCTTTATTATTTTAAAATAATAATATATGCATGGTATAATTTCAAAATGTTTGCATTGAGTACGTTATACGTAACAAACAGTAGGTATGTACTGTGAAAAAAAAAGTATAGACTTACATATTTTGGTAGCAGGTAGACCCGTACGTCATACCCGCATGTGTTGTCTCTGCCTCATAAACGTACAACATTACAAATTTTCGTTCAGTATAACTAATATTGTTAGCTTTAATATTAGAGTTAATTAATCTATTATCAAATTTTTAAGAATATTATTCGTGTTTGTATGACTGTCATTTACAATATTTTGCATACTCAAAACTGGTAAAAATAATATGAAATATAGTTGAATAAAAAAGAACAAACACAAAATAAGTTATTACCTTAAAGTTTTATAGAAGGTAAATTCACTCTTAAATTAAAGCACAACACATAAATGGTTCTGCCGAACGTAAGTTTGGGATATCTATATGGTGTAAGTTTGAAAGACGTAGACAACACTAGCGGGTGAGACATCATCTTAACATTAAATACGTATATTATAGTTACAATATACCCAGTAAGTAATATTATAAAACCATAGACGAGCATTTTAACAAATAAATATTTTTGTTAAATAAAATGAATACCATTCTAAGTAATAAATAATAAGTATTTAAATTGTAATGCATACGTTTAATATAAATTTAAAACCAAAATATTTAGGCTATACCTACGTAAAGTTATGCCTACCTATATCCAAATCACATGGAATTTTACAACAAAATATTAGGAGTGCTATAGCGTAGGCCGTAGCAGTATATTTCTAGCTCTAGTGTTTATTTTAGTAACGTAGCATGTTATGTACATGTGTAGATAAAAATTCTTAGGCGGAGCCTAGAGATTTAGAGTAAATTCTATCATAACAGGTTAGATACTCAAGATGCATACACTATGTACAATTAAAAACGCCGCGAATAAAATAATATAATTTAAATCATTACAATAAGCACCCGAGTACATAATAAAATGTTAGATTCCATTCATAATATTACTTTTTTAACACTTTAACTAGGACATAAATATCAGACATTATTGGTGAACGCCGAATGGTGTTGGTGTTTAATATAATTTATAGACAAATAGAAACCGAGTGGTGTACTTATATTTCTGAAAAATATGTATTACAAAGAAGATATAATAAACCAATTTTGTTTTTATTAGGAAAGAGAATATCTACACTCTGTATATGTACAATGAATAAAAAAAATAAAAAAAATATCCATGGACTGGACTGATGGAAGGGGTTTCGACAACTACTTCAAATGTTATTTTTTTGTTTTAATAACACCTACGACTTGCACACCACCATGCCATATTATAGGTATAATTACCGTTCGATTTTAACGATTCGGACAGTAGGCATACTAGAAACATGTTATAGTGGTAGCTAATTCAAAAATACGTTTTTAATTTGGGCGGACAACAGGAATTCATTAAATGTTTTAAAAGAACGGAATGAAACGACGGCAGAACCCACCTCCGGCCACGACGACGATCGGGTCATAACGGGTGTTGACCGTTGGCGTTCGGTGGCGTTTTGGTCCGCGCGAGGAGAGAGAAATAGAGAATATTATTATTCGAATCACTACGGTCTACGACGACGAACCGCCGACACGAGGTGTATACCGTTGCCTGGATCCCGTTACCCGGACAACGGGACAGCCGGCAATGTGTAGTCATAACGGGACCGGGATCCAGTCACAGCCCCGTTACAGGGTACCCCGAAAAAAATCTGTTATTCTACAAATAATAATAATGATTATGACAATGATGAAAAAAACTTAACGGTCCTCGGTTTTGGAATTCACAGAGCCTCCCTACTATCGAAAATCGTACTTGGTGCACATTCGCCAACTGTGGGTTGGCCATTTCAGAAACTTTTATTTGATACTTTAAAACTTTGTACTTTTGAACAATCGCAGACAAACGTACCGTCAACACAGTATAGTCATAAATAAAATAAAAATAATATGTAATGTAATATTACGACTCGTGAACATAAAAACCACAGCGCTGTTGCGTTCATAGATTTTACGTGTATACCTAAATACAACACAGCATTTGTATGATTGTTTTCAGATTTTAATTATTAAAAACGAATTATTTGGAACGACTGTGTAATACGGTTGTCAAGTTTGTAATCTAATATTTATCGAAGTGATTATATTTTATGACAATTTTACAATTAAATTGCATAGTATAGTAGTTTAATATAATTCTATAATAACAACTTCGGAAAAATGAAAACCTTTATAGTGAAATTATAAAATTAACTACCTATGACTTTTAAAACAAAATAAATTTAACATTGCTATGTTCATACCTATTATATTAAAGTAAAAATTTTAAGTAAACAATTTGTATTCAAACACGAATACTATGAATATTGTATTCAGTTATATTGTAAATTAAGTATTGACAGTGAAAAAACATCCTAACATTACAAACATATTACACCCATGAAACATAGTCAATATGACGATAATCGATTTAAAATTATTATTCTTGAACCTATATGATTTAATATAATTTAGATAGTAGAGCAAGCTAAGTGTATGAGTGTGTACTTAATATTATTGTTTTTTTTACTTGTGACTAATGAATTTAATTAAATCACAGCAATATTGAGTAACTTATACGTGCAAATTAAAAAAAATACCTAGTTTAAGTATGCAAAAATCATGTTCATTATAAAATGTATTACTTATAGTTACTATGTTAATATTTAACTCAATAATATTTATACTTTAGTTTAGTTTTGTTATTATTATTATTATAATAATATTATAATTTACATTCTATGCATGTCGTTTGTGGTTTGTACAAGGCACGTTAAAAAAACATTCACCAGCACAAACATTGCGTATTATACTGCGCAACATTAAACTAAAAATTACAAAGAACACAATTTAGATTGTCTCTGAAATATTACTATCTGGTACAGTTCATGCGAGCTGTTAGCTTAGATTAGTATGATAAGGGTTTCTATGAATTAAGATTCATTTTGTGAATTTCCCTTCAATTGTTAATTAAGCTGTATGAAATATTTTATTACAATATTGTATAACATCCAAAAAATGGAATAAATAATAAAAGCAGAGTTAAATTAATTATTCTGTCGAGATATTATAGGTATTTTAAGTGTATATAAACAAGATTACAAAATATATAAACAGCAAAAATACCGAGATAGTTCCATAAAGTTATACAATCCATAAATGTTCTAAATAACTTGTAGGTACATTAAAAGGTAATGTAAAATATATAATATTCCAAAAAATGTATGAAAGTATTAAGGTACATCCGAATTCGTTTCACAGGCCTGACACCGTGAATCACAATATTATAGATAGGTAGGTTTATAATGTAAATAATAAATTGACTAAAAAATACGATTTCAGAATTTCATAACGTAATATTGTGTCAACAATGTAACACTTAATAATATGACTTTTGAGTATTTAGCATTTGAACTTTAACAGTCGTGGTCTACGCATAAATATAAATTATAAATTTAAAATAACAATAATACCGTGGCGACCGTAGTGTATATAATACAAACGTATCATGGTGCCCATAACAACGAAATAAGTCAAAACTTAAATAATACAATCACAACGTTATTTTATGAATGATCGACGTAAAACTTTTTTTCTGAACCATAAATAAATTGATTATAAATTATCCAATATTGTGATTTTAGAAATAATTATACTTAACATTTATTTTTACAAGATGGTCGGTCTTTTATTATATTAATTGACCGTCGATATTATTACACTATATTTTGTAGGCAGGTCTAACCTCTAGTGTCGTCGGGCGTATGGAAATTTAGGGAAACCAAAATGTGGAAGGAGCAATGGAGAACAAGGCCTACTTGATTTCCCTCTCCTTCGACATTCTAAAATCTCAAGCTGCGATGAGAATAATATGTCCTTGCGCGTGCACATTGGCCGTTCGGTGTGTATAATGCATATAATAGTAGTAGTATACTATAATATATAATAATATGTAATATATCGTGATTATCAAGATGTGTGGCAATAAGAACACACAATACACGGGTATTATTTTATGTTTTAAACTGGTTTATAGTCGAGGGGTAAAGGGTGGGAGGCCCAGGATAAAAGAGACGAAAACGAAGATTTACTCACCAGAAGACCGGTTTCCACGCTGGGCAATAGGGTGAGGCGGCTTCCTTGCATCAACTGGTTGTCGTCCAACGAGCCATCTCTAAGTTGCCTACAATAAAACAAAAAAACAAAGACCATAAATCAATAAACGTCTGCTCCGTAACTGTATGGTACGAATCGGAAAATCTCGGCTTACGTGTATTATGATCATCGTTATCGAACATTTAAAAAGACAATTATTTATTTGTCCCGTGAAAACTCGAAAAATTATACCTAACATTCTCATGCCGGGAAAATAATAACAACAACGGTAATAAATACCGATTGCGAGCAACAATGAGATTTTCAAGGTTTAAATGCAATAATAATAATAATAACAATAATTACAGACGCGTTACATAAATGCGTCGAATTACGCGTAGGTATTATATTATTATTATAGTTTGCATCCACCGCGCGATTGTCGTAACATGTGGATAAACAACGTTGCTGTAATATGAGGTATTTTTTTATTATTATCATTATATTTCTTTCACGTGTGCACACGACGTTCGATCAGATGCGTAAGGAAAAAAACACCCGAGAGGAGAATATAAATTGCGGAGGGGAAAACAATAGAGGCGACGACTGGAGCACGCAGTTTGCAAACCCCTGGTTTTCCGGGACGAGAGAAAGTTGAGTTTGACGCGGCGCTTTTCGGAGATTCTTTCGAAAACACCACACGAACATCATTATGTCCGAGGCGCAGGGCGGTACGTTTAACAAGCGGCGATGACGTGTTTCTTCGGGGCGGACAATGTAGAGATGAGGGCGACCAAGCAGCTGTTCTACACTTGTCCAACCAACTACAAGGGACCCGTCTCGCAAGCGTCGGGTTATTCACCCCCGAATCAGTAATGGCGGTGGCCTCGCATAGGGGAGCGGCGACCGTGTCAGCTGTTGGGATTTCGATCCCACGCTCGGGCGAAGATACGACTCCGCCGCCGCCGATGCTTGCGTAACAGCAACCGCACGAGAAAAGAATATTACACCCATAACCTTTTATCGTCAGCGGGTTACCTGCGGGGGGTTTGAAAGAGGAAAGGAATAAACGACGTAATCGTTTCTGAACGCGTCTAGCAACAAAGAACGACCGATCGAATCGCGGGACAGACTTTATTTCACATACCTACCCAAAATTAATACTATATTATTATTATTATCTTTGTTTGTCTGTTCTCGCCCAAAAATGTCTGCGAAAGAGTCACACACAGACGGCAGCTGCTGTGGCGGTGTAATTCGGGGAGGGGGGGAGAGGGCGGTCGTTAGATAACGAATGTTTTGATTGCGAATCGCCCTAAATTATGTATACACACACACTCACACAATCGTAATAAATGCGACTTCCGGGAAACGAGCGTACCCGCGCTATCGCCGGTCGATAGCATCGGCGAAGGAGGACGGGCGAGCACCGGAACGAGCTCTCCCGGTCGGACACCTACGGTGAACGCAACCGACGACGGAATTATTGAAATCCGTCGACAATAGGCGACAACGGGTGTGCAAATCCTGTTGACATGGATTCGCAGTGTCGCGGTTTCTGAAAGTTTCGTTTGGAAGTCGAACAGAAGGGAGGAAAGAGAGAAGTGTTTACAAAAATATATGCCGTGAAACCGTCAAACAAAGGGAAGACGATAAAAAACGAATATATTATCCACGCTCGTTTCCAAACGGTTTGGGAACACCGTGTGATGGACGACGGTGGTGACCGGAGAACCGACGGAACGGCAACGTCGACACTATTATATTATTATTATACCCGAGCGTCACCCCCCCCCCCTACGAATTCGAGGAACCAACAACAATTTTTATCTCAAACGAGCAGCTGTTCCGAGGGTACGCGTCAAAACGGGTCGGCACGCACAACAAAACAGGGTCGTGACCCCTTCCCCCACCACAACAACAATGGGTCTCGCGCAAACTTCGTTATCGGACGGAAGTGCCGGCCAGCCGGAGTCTGCTCAACCGGGAGGTGGATACTTAATAGTTCGTACTTTGGAGCACTGAGAATGAGCTCGACCTCGCCTAAACGTATATCGTGGCCCCTCACCAGCCCCCGTTGCCAGGTGTTGACGGTCGAACCAGAGGGTGGCCGTCCGTTAAAAGGACGGAAACAGAGGCAGTCGCTTAGAGCTAAGAAAAATGTTAAAAGAAATTAGTCTCACCTCTCGCGATACAACAGGCATATCCGCTCTTTGGGCACTCTCAACCGTTTGGAGATCATTTTCTTCAGGCTTTCTACCGAATCGGTCTTGAGCACATCCAGATCGAACTGACCGCCGGTGGTCGGTGAGACGGTGATCGTGATCTCGGACTCCCTCGCCGCACGGTTGGCCATAACGGCTTGGACGGCAGCGGCGAAGATCCTTCCCTCGGGGTCCTTATCGAAGTTGCTGCGGTCTTCGGCCGTACCGCTTGGGCCAGCCTGGTAGTTGTCGCCTGTCGTCCCCCAGGTCTTCCGCCTTTCTATCTCGGCCTGTAAGTCCAGGTACTGCTTGTTTTCCATATCCAAGGTACGAGATTTCGCCGCTCGTTTAGCCGCCACAACGGCGGCTGCTCTTCTCGCTACCTTGGCAGCTGCGGCCGCGGCCGCGGCAGTCACCACGTCATTGTTGTTGTCCACCGCGGCGGTACAGCACCCGGATTTGGGCTCGCCCGCGTCGTTGTTACTACTGCTGCTACTGCTGCCTTCCATTGTGTCTCGTTAGGTTTTAATATTAAAATAATATCAAATACAAATACTTATTTATACAGTATATTATATAGATAGAATAGAGGGGTTTGGGTGTAAATACGCGAGTGTATTTATTATAAATATGTTACAATAGACGATTATTGTTTTACGAACGAGAAACGCAAGGAGGTAGGTCGCGATGTGGAACACGCAAAATCCGGTGACGTCGAATATCACAGACGCGAATCGGACGCCATGGCGGAGGAGTGACACTGCATGGGCGGCGGCGGCGGCGGACACAAAGAACGCGGACAACACTCGCCGAGAGAAACGTAGAAAATAATAATAATAAAAAAAGAAAACAATAAAACAAAATGATAATAAAAAATACGCGTACTCGAGTGTACGTTTAACGACGGTGGAGACGACTGACGAGACTACTAGAGAACTAGACTAGGCGACTGCCGACTACACGACCGTACGACGCCGTCGGATCGTGAAAAGGAAAAGAGTGGAAAAGAAAGAAAGACGCGATGGCCGCAAAACCGAGGCATGTCTGTCGCCGAGCCGCGCGTCATATTTCCCGCCAGGAGCGTCATTGTCGCTCGACCCTGGCTACACTGCGCTGTGCTTCGTTGCGCCTCACCGATAGATTACGCACTCCTTGGTGTTCTACCACGGTGGATTGCAGACGTGTAGTCAAGACGACGTTGTCTATGTTGACTATGGATAATATAAATATGATAAAGAGCCGTGAAATGATAAATACAAAATCCAAAAAGTACCAACAAGCTGGTGTAGAACAATACTGGCAACAACTCTTTCTATAAAAATGTCCACGATATAAATAAGAAGATAGTAATTCAATAATTTTTATTGATGTTGAATTTTTAATGCGTATCATCGGAATCAACCCACTAGTCAGTGGATTGGATCACAATTTTATTTTTTATGATCATTGATCGGGTATTGAATAGCTTTCGGAACAAAGTACGGATATTAATATTTTATTATATTATTTACCCACCAGTTACCCACTGAATGATCCTATAATTCGTTGGACCAAACAGGTGTAAGATTATTCCACCCCGGGTAATGAATCTTATCAACGATAAACATACTGGTGCGTTTTTTTTCATACCCGTTTGGGTGAGGGACTAAAATTTATAATTTTAATAAATCTTTTAATATTGCCGAAGATGATGCAATTGTATAATGTATATTAATTGTGTCTGTGTTGTCCTCGGTTTTCACCCCGCCTATTGACGATGACAAACATACACAGTGGCCACAGATATAGATATTTATAATATTTATATTATTTCCTTATCAGCACTGTGCAAAACACAGTACGTTTCTCATCTTTATTATTGTTGTGGGATATTATCAGACTCTTATCACATCTGCCGTGAAAAATTCAAGGTTTAAAAATACTCGTAATTTGCCTCGGCTGTCACCGTGAAGCCTCGGAACTGCAGAAGCGAACAGACTTCTATATACTTATCTAGTTATCTGAATGTCTGACACAAGTTTCACAACAGTAGTCACTAGTCAGCTTTTTTGGCGGCTGTTTATCGTGTTAGACGTTAGTCAGTACCCAGATGTATTACTGTCGTGTAGTCGTTTGTCACATTACCAGCTTTTTTAAAATTCTTTGTTTTGTCTCAAAATTTGTCCAACGTAAATACGTAATTCGTCACGGCTATCTCTTACACTGAGTTAAACTATTATTATTATGTTATCAAACTAACACCAATACAATGGACAAATACGATAAAGCCTCTCAGCATATTAAAGGTAAACAAAAAGATAGATTTTCGCTTAAGAAGAAGATTGCATACTAGCCTACTCCTATTACCACCACTATATAATATTACTTCTACTACGCCTCAAATAATCCATCGATATAAATATTCAGATTATGTATACATTATATCAATATTAGTCATTATTGCTGACAGGTGTATTTTTAAAAATGCCCTGTTTATTGCACCTACTTATCCCACATATGGTAGTTAAGTTATGTACAGCAAAAATAATATTGTTAATTTTTATTTAAAAAAAATGGGTATAAAAGCTTAGAATTATAATTTATGTATTTATATTATATTTTCTAATTCCCTGATGCATTTTATACAATGATACATATATTTTCATTAAAATCAAATAGTTTTTAGCTTTTACCTAGATTATTTTGGTATTAAAAATTAGATTTATTCAACTTTCTTATTACCAGGGATTGTGTATTCTTAAATTCTTTTATAATCTTTATATTACAATTTTCATTAAATTCAATAAATAACAGCAATTATTATATTTTTAAATTAAAAAATCTAATAGGTAAAATACCATTATATATTTTATCTGGCCATACGTATAATCAGTAGTTCATAATTGTCTCAACTGAAATTCAATTAGTAAAAATAAGTTAATAAGTAAATTTACTTATTTTAATTTTAGGATTATGACTTAACTGATAATATACATACACTGACTTTTATAATTTACAAGTTTTTGTTAACTACAACAGTTTTTTTTTATCCTTTACATTTGCTTTTAAGTAATTTTTTACCCTTAATTTGACATCATTTTATGTTGTCACTGTAACTGTGCAATAGAGATTTATTTTCACTCTCAAAATTAAGGCAACGGTTAATTGTTGTAAAAATATACAATTTCAAGGGCTTCAGCCTTATATCTAGGGAAACATAGTTAGGGAACTAATTTATATGTAGTAAAAATACAAAAATATGTGCATAAGGAAATATAATTTATAAAATACGTGGGAAAAAAACATTTTTATTTCTGTAGAAGTTCAATGCATTGAATATAATTATGCAAATATCAGATATATATATACCTAATATATTATGAAATTCCATTGAATAACTATAATTTATTTTAAATTATTGAATGTTAAATGTTGCTTATTAGGTTTCAAAATATTTTTAAAACAACTAAACTATTGTTCAATATTAAGTGATGAAATTGGATTATATTTGAAGTTTATAATATCTGAATGCTATAATTCTACATTTTTAGTATAGTATCTGCCACTCATTATTTAAATGAATGTTTTAAAATTAGTATGGCCCAGATTGTTTTCTGTAAACATCATGAATTTTTTTTTCACAGCATCTCTTAGTTGTCTGCTTACAAATTTTAATTTTCTATTGCTGATTCGACAATTTTCAATATTTGCATACTATCATTTAAGGACATATTATTTGTTATATGGTAATATACCGATAAATGGTTGTTTTTGTTCATTGCAACATGGCTTGAAAACGTGTGAATGATAAAATGATAAAATATGTTTAAAAATTTGTAATTATCCCAAGATATATAAAATAAAATTGGCGCCGTTTATTAAGAATTATTTAAATTGTGAACATTTCTTATCAAATCTTAAATACCTTGTTCTAATAAAAATAAGCATTTACATATAAATCCATTCCCTAGTTATAATTATATTAAATAATTTGTGAAATTTATTTTAATTGCTAATTTAATTTAAATTACAGATTCCTTGAACACTAAAAATCTTGCTGAATGTCTATCACAAACAGGACGTTTTTCATACTGTGCCTTATGTGCAACTTCATTGAGCTGCCTTTATAAATATCCTGCACATGTAGATTTTAAGTTAGATTGTCTACGTATACTGTGTAATCATTTAAGACTAATGTTACAACTACCCACTATGCGAGAGATGGCCAATTGCGAACTTCCCTTAGATGCTAAAGTATATGTTAGAGCTCTCAAAAAAGAGGAAGTACTTAAAGAAGGCATGATGATTATTGTACAAGACCTTTTATTGCTAGCCATTTCAAATGGTAAATTTTATTTTTAATTATTACTTTTTTAAATTATTGTCATTGTAAAACAATTATAACTATAAAATAAAATATTTTAATATGCAAACCAAAGGATTTAAAGTAGGTAAGTATCTAGTTACTTGTGTATTATTTGAAAATAAAATTTAATTTTCTTAAAAAAATTAATGTTTTTTCAAATGATTTTTATAATTGTATGAAACATATAAAATAAATATTTTTCATAATTATTTATGTAAATAATATTAATAAACATTTTTTATAATTTTTATAAATAACATTTAAAAAAATGTATTAATAATGTAATTAATTTTGTTTTGTTTATAAAACTGTCAAATTTTTTCTGCATCATATCAATTTAATTTTATGATATTAAAAATACATTTTAAAATTATTGTTATATTTTTTAGGTATATATGATGCTCGTTGGAGAGTTCTTATAATATATGTTACTCGTGTGTTTGATCTTGATTTAAGTAAAGTAGATAATTTTGAGTTAAACGTTGTAAATTGTTTATCAAATTTTTTGCCAGTTCAAACTGAGTAAGCATTTTTAAGCTTATTTATTTAAATATTATGTACTGTCATTATGTTTATTTTCAAATGAAGACAAGAACAAGCTGATGCTGCTCGTCGTATTCGTGTATCAAAGACTAAACGTTTTGCAATGATTGGATTTGCATCAGTTGGTGGTGGAATTCTCCTTGGTTTAACTGGTGGATTAGCTGCTCCTCTAATTGGTGCAGGGCTATCTAGTATCATAGGAACATCTATTGTCGGAGCTATTGGAACAGTAGGTGGTACAGCTATTGTTGGATCACTTTTTGGTGTTGCAGGAGCAAGTTTAACTGGTAATTATAATTAAAATAAAAATAAAAAATGTATACAATAACTTATAGTTTAAATTTTGTTTACTGTAACTATATATATTTTAGGATATAAAATGCATAAAAGAGTTGGTGACATAGAAGAGTTTCAATTTCGTAAACTATCAACAGATACAGAAACTGGAGATATTCACTTACATATTACTATTGTTATATCTGGATGGTTAAATGATGATATAGAAACCAGCTATTGTCAACCTTGGCAGTATCTTCGAGTATAAATTCATTATATCTTACACATTTATATAATTAAAAATCATATTATACACTTTAACACCAAATTAAATAGCAAATGGAGTCATCTCCCCGAAATATCTATTATCATGAGAATGTATTTCTACAAAATGTCCTCTGTAGTTTTATAGCTTCAGTAATGTGTAATTTCTGGAAATATATTATTAGCACAACAACCTTTGAAAAAATGCCATATTTTCAGCAGATACTTAATGAAAGTACAGTTTTAGCCGCAAATTAGATTCACTTTGGTAGCATGTAATTTGAGTCCATTAGCCAAATGAGTCAATAAGGCAAAATGTCCCAAAAAATAAAATAAATATACACTTATTTACTTTAAAAATATTAATTGAGAGTAATTTAGCTATTATGTAACTAAATTTATAATAATAGAAATCCTTCCAGAGTTGATTGGATTTTCCCTTCTTCGATTCAAAAAGACCCCATCAATCACTGTGTTTTTTCTGTAAGTTAGACATTAGTATAGGTACAAATCAAGATCAGTCATTTTGAGTCAATTAACCTCGAGTCCAATAAGCGAGAACCATTGTACTTTTTCTTTCTTTTTTTTTACGCTTTAAACAGGACTTGTTCATTTAATTGAATATTTGTTATAAATATTAACTATTTAAGTGTTCATCATAACAAATTTAAATTAAATGTTTAACATTTTATGATAAGTATTTTTTATATAAATCAAACCGTTATATTAAAAGTATCAATTTACATACTATTCAGAATCACAAACACTTTTAACAAATAACTATCATGCATTGCATTTTAATTTATACATTAAAATCAACTTCATTTTTTAGGACAGTCCAGAACAGTATTATCTACGATATGAATCGTCTTATTTGCTGGAGTTTGGAAAAGCTATGGAATACTTTTTTAGTTTTGCTGTTTCTGTAGCAGTTCAAGAATCTCTGAAATACACTGTACTATCCGGCCTGATGGCAGCTATTGCGTGGCCCGCAGGAATTTTAGGATTGGCCTCTGTCATTGATAATCCATGGGGTGTATGTTGTCGACGATCAGCACAAGTTGGAAAACAGTTAGCAGAAACTCTACTTTCACATAGTCATGGTAATCGTCCAGTAACATTGATTGGTTATAGTCTTGGAGCTCGAGTTATCTATTATTGTTTAAGGGTATGTATTTATGAATTATATTACAATGTTATATGAGATTTACAGATTTATAATATTTTAGGAAATGTCTCAAAGAGAAAAAAGTCAAGGTATTGTCCAAGATGCTATCTTAATAGGCACTCCATGTACTAGAAATTCTTCAGATTGGAACAAAATTACAGAGATTGTAGCTGGAAGAGTAGTAAATGCATATTGCAGGTATATTTAATATTTAAGACCATCAGTTGTAATTTTATAATAAATAATAATAATATGATACTTATAAATTGATTTTGAATCAAATTTTAGGAGTGATTGGTTTTTGAAATTTCTGTATAGAACACTTTCTATGCACGCAAATGGAGTAGCTGGTCTTCAAGCTGTTCAATCAGTTAGTGATCGAATAGAAAATATTGATTTGACTGATATTGTTTCCGGTAATAATTAATAACTAAACATCAACCATGGTTTAGAATTTATTTTTAAACAAAAATAAAATTAATTCCGACCAATATTGTTTTAATAATACACAAATCTTTTAAAAAAATTCTCTATTGTTAATGAATTATTAATTTATAGGACATTTTGAGTATCCACAAAAACTGACAGAAATTTTAATTCACATTGGAGTTAATGTAGATCAATCGGCCAAACTTCAATTAATTACTACACAATCTATGCCGGAAGGAATGTCTGAACATTTGAAAATAAATGTGAGTATATTAATGTTAAAGAAATTGATTTTTTTCTACCTATTTTGCTGCATTTCTATTCAAGACTAAATCTTTTGGTCTTTGTCTATCAGATTTTTAAAATGTAATATTTGTTTGTTTAAAATATTAAAATAATCAGTGTTATATTTTAATCTATAGTTATAAAAATTATTAGAGCAGTTGTCACCTTGGTAAGCCTGCCAAAAGGGGTAATTTCTATCAGGCCCAAAATTTGATGGCCTAGAAATTTGGGACTACTTAATTTTTTTTAAAACTAAAGAAATAATTAGGAGTAAGAATTTGATGAACACAGCAGAAATTCTACTAACAAAAGTTAATAAAATGTGGTAAAAAAAAGTGGGGCCCCTAAGGTATTGTCATTGATTATAAATACTAGTATTTATAATCAATGGTATTACCCTCAAGCCCGGGTCGTCTCTCCTTGGCCCTTAGACTATAGCATAAATAGGCGATTGGCTGGTAGTATGCATCTACTGATTTCATTCCATTAGATTCAGAATTTCTAGCTACTCAAATATTTTTAAAATACTGAATAATCAATGATTTGTTTTTGAATACAATACAACTGAACTTGTAGCATTAAAAAAATGATATACACAAATTAAATCAATTTTTAAGCATTGCATCTTCTGTTTCCAGCTTCTACAATAGTTTTTTCTGCTACAGCTAAACTCACTCCACTTTCAGTTTTATACTTTCCTAGTTGTTTTATTACTACCATATTAACCATTTTCATATTTTGGAGGTAATACAATATTTTTTCTATATTTTAAAGAGCCACTAAAAGTTTTCGTTTCCATATAATAGACAACAGTAATAGCTTAAAATGATTCTAAATATATATTTGACTTTTTGACTTTTGATTTAAAATGAACAACATTAAACACAAATTAATATTTATTCAAATGATATTATTATATTTCATTATATTATAAACTAAATTTTTAGCACAAAACATACCTAAGCACTTAAGCTATAGTAATAAAATACTAGTTATTAAATAATAGATAATTACATCATTGGGAATATTGAATTTGCATGTCTTTTGAAAATTTGGTTAAATCTGGCTCACATTTGTGTGTGGAATAATTTTTGGTTGTGAATAATTATCCGCCTACAAATACATATTGCAATACAAATATTGTGCCAATCAACTCTGAACTAGTTTAAATCTATAAAAAAAAAGAAATCCATTATGCAGTAAAGTTAATTTCTCCATGTCATACAATTTAAAAACAATCACTCAATTAACTATATTTTATTAATAATAAATATTAAATAATAATGACTTATATTGTGTTGAATTATTTTATGAAATTAATATGTTTTGTTATTATTTAGGATAATTATCCTGTCAAAAAATCAAAATCTGTAATTGATCTTACAATTATTGACACCAAAAAAAATGAGGCACAATGAATGTTTTGTCTGGTAAAACGTATCGAGCTTATTTCTTCAATTCAATATTATGTTAAGTACTATATTTTAAACTTACATTTAAGAAAAAGAACATTTCTTAATTATTGTTTTGCAATTTTAAAGTTTATGCGAATAATTCATAATAACTTGGTGCTTTAAAAATTATTGATATTAGTGAATGAATTGATTATTAGGCATAAATCAAAAACTTTTGAAGCCTACTCTGTTAAGAGCTTATTTTGAATTTTTGAATTTTTAATTAAATTAACAAATTATTTTTTTATATATCTGTTTGATAAAATAATTTTTTATAAAATATTTTCTTATAAATATATTCACTAAAATAAGTAACTATTAAAACATAATATCAAAAAAAATAAATAATATTCATTAACTAAAAAACTGATAAAAACAATTAGGTGATGCAAATTTAAATGTATTAACTTTTAGCGTTCCTATTACTTTTAATAACAATATGTTCCAAAGATTTAGTATCATTTTTTTTTAAAATATATCTTCAATTCAGTTATTATGATAAATATACATAACTTTCAATTTATGGATATCACATTGTTATAATTATTGTTAAATCTAATAACAAAGAAACATATTATATTTAGTGCCTTTACCAGTGCCTCAAGTTTGTGCTGTTTTTTTTTAAATTCTTTAGCCACCCTTTACTAACTTAGAATGGTTTGTCTTTTAATCATTTAGCATAATATGTTTGGCTTTTTATTTCACAATATGATCCCAGTACTGACTTATCTTTGCATTGCTGCTTAAACCATTTAATCGCGTATTATTTTACGTTAAACAATTCAAGACCTCTTTTTCACTTGCTATCACTTGAAAAGTTAAAATTGGTTTCCCTACTTTTAGTATGGTGGATAGTGTTCTCCATAATATTCCTAAGTTTTCAGCAAGATCCTACTTCTTTCTTCCAATTTATACTGCTTTAAGCACCATTTGTTTTTCACAATGCCTAGAATTTAAACTATGAGGCATCTTTGCATTTACACCAAGTTCACAACTGTACACATAACCGATAGATTGCAATTGACAATTCCTAACCACATGAAACTTTAAGTATAGTAACAAGCGTCAAACACAATTGAGTAAGTTGAGTTGATTTAATTATAAATTACTCCAACCATAATAGTTTCTGTAATTGTGTCAGTTTATAGATATTTATTTATTGTTAAAAATTATACCAAAATGTTATTTTATTTTAAGTACAAATAAATTAAGCGAATAAAGTTTTAAAGAATTTTGTGTATTCTTAACTAATTTTAAGTATGTAATAATATTTAATATTACTGTTACTATTCACTATTTTTAATTAAACATAAGGTAATTAATATAACTATATTTTGTATTGATATTTGATATAAAAAAGTTATTATTTATTAATTTATCATGTTATAATTTATTTAGTTAGAACTATACATTTAATTTTGTGTTTATACAGGAAGTATAACTAAAAATTGGAGAATATAATAATTTAACTTTTTTAAATTATTTATTTCACCAACACTATGAATTGGGTATTTTCTTTATATAAATGTTTTTTTGTTTGTTCACTATTTTACACTGTTGTATATACCATATAATAAACAAGCAACTGTTTGAATTTAGTTGATTACTATTTTACTCTTCTGTGATAAATATTATGTATACATGTATACAAAATAATTATACAAAAAAAAATAATAACAATTTGATTTTTAAATTTTTTTTCAAATATATTTTTAAAATAAGCAATTTTTTCAATTTTAATCAAGATAATATTTATCTAAAAACGGACGTTTAAAATGATTTAGTTAATCAAATGTATGTTACAACATTTATAGAATACCATAATTTAATTTTTGTACAACAATTATTATACAATGCATCACACTGTCACTGTAAGTTATTAAACATGCTTTGTATATTAAGTAACATCATTGAATATATTATATTGTATATTGTGTAATATATACTCAATGGTAACATCATTACGTCTATAATTGGAAAAATAAATTGGATAAATGAATACAAAATTAAATTAAATCACGACTAAGTAACAAAAGTTTTTTAATTATATTACTTAAATAAAAATTTAAGAAATTATTGAATTAATATTTTGTGTTAACTTTTCGTCCTATATTAACATTTGTAAGCGTGACTTATTTTATAAATGGTAGTTATTATTAAATATTTTAAAAGGTAACATTTATGTCTTTTCACTATTTGTTAAAGTTTTATTGTATAATATATTATAAATAATAGTATTTATATTATATATTTTCATGTTTTTTTTTCTGGAATGTGTTGTTACTTTTCATAATGCACTTGACGAAATATTGAATAAACTAATTATGATGGGGTACAATAACATTTGTTATAAAAGTGCTTATATTATATTTGACTAGAGGCAGCGGCAAACAGTTGTATCTAATTTAATGTTGAATGTGATGTCTATAAATAACATCCTTCTGTGAATATATTTGATGTGCCTAACTGCTTAATGAAGCCATAGGCGAGGACGGAGACATTGGTGACCGGTTACAATCACTTGCAGATGAATTAGGTGATCCATTTAATGTTATCACTAGCTTTCGACTACCAGCTTGATTTCGATGCTCACACAGCCAAATACCTTGCCATGTACCAAGATTTAATTTTCCTTCAGTAATTGGTACTGTTATTGATGAACCAAGAAAACATGCCTTTACATGGGCTGGCTAAAAATAATAATTACAATTTATTGAGTATTAAATAAAAAACTGTTTATAATAAATAGCTTTTTTAATTTTAAAAAAGTAATTTATTTACCATGTCGTCAGGTCCTTCACATGAATGTCGATAAGGTAAACCCTAAAAAACAAACATATTGCACACAACTTAGAGAAGTTAATAAATATGTGAACTATATACTAATATTAAAATGTCTTTAATGACTAAACAATCTTTGCTACATTCATCCCCACTACTTAATAAGTACCATTATTATGGCATACGTTGCTCTTTACTTTAAATGTTATAATTTTGTAGCTTAATAACAGTTATGCAATTTATTCTAATTTATCTAAATTTGTTTATAAGACTGTTATCTGTACATTTCAGCAAAATTCTTTTTGATAAGTAGTAGAACTCTTATGAATTAAGTAAAACTGACTTTGAACAATCAATAAAAATGGATGGTTGGAAACCACAATTTATATGTATTTTTCACCAATGCTTATTTATTACTGCAGAAGAGTAAATTATTTAGGTGTCTTCAGAGTCCCCATGAAATGTATTAGCTTTATACTTGGAATCATAATATTTTAATTTGGCTGTTAGATTTATCATTACTTACTTCTGGTACAATTTTATTCAACATCATCTCCATATCATCTCTAAACAAACAATTATACTTGTTTAATATAATTTGTATATAAAATAATAATTTTTAATAAAATCTGAATAAAATGCACATTTTTTATTTTTCCCTTGCCAATTTATTTTCAACAGATTTTACCAGATATGTATATCATATTCTTACCGAACATTTGGATCCCAACTTTCATTAATGGCAAGGCTAGCTGAGGTATGCAAAACTAAAAAAGTAAAAATTAATAATTAGTTTATTTAAGTATATACTTATGTATGATCTACGCTACCTATGTTTTTCTCTCATTTAATACATATTTTTTTACATAGACATCCAAAAAGTCAACCATATTTACATTGTTTTAAAATAAAAGTACCCGATTTCTGATGTATGGGTCTTCAATGTCACAGACTCAAGTCTACCAATACTGATACATTTTAAAACAAATTCTACATTTTTTGACATTTTACTTTTTTTTTAGAAGTAAGCAGATATTTTTACTGATAACATGATCATAAAAGATAGGTACCCATCTTTTTCTAAAAATTAATGAAAAATGTGAAAAATTAAGTTTAGATCAACTTGTAGGTCGGGTGTTTTCTGATTAGATGGAAAGTCAACCAACCCACACTTGTAACTCTCCAACTCTCCAACTCTAAAAATTTAAAAAAAAACTGATCTACTTCTTGCATATTCGAATACCAGCACAATTTGACTTCAATGTCTTTTCAATATTCAGTTAACAGTAAAATAAATTATAAAATAAAAAATAAAAAAATTCTGTGAATACATGAAAAATGTAACTCCTTATTTCAATTACATAACAAATTAAAATAAAATATTCCAACAAATATATTTAAAAATGAATTATAGTTAATTATTTTTCTTTGTAAGATAATACATGACAATTTTAATACAAGAAGTCAAGGAATAAAATAGATGAAAAATGACGTGATTCTGTTGTAAAAATTGGTAAATAATCTCAGAGAAAACTTTGTTGACTTTTTGAATTTTTGTCGATGTTGAAAAAAGAAAAAAGCATTGAGAGAACAAAATTAAATAGGTATTTACATATTTATGTCTAAGTGGTTATACATTTACTAATAATTATTTCAATTTACCAATACACCATTAAAGAAATTAAAATCAGCGAGACATTAACTTAAGAAGTTATTAGAGCTGTTACATGAGATATAAGAATACAAGTATTAAATGTAGAAATTTTAAGAGGATGTCATATCAGCATGTGTTTTCTCCGTCTTACACATGTACGACATATCCAATTTTTGCTCACCAGTTTGATGTAAGAGTGAACTAACTTATTAAACAATTTAAAGGTAAGATTATTTTCTAAAGCCTGGAGGCTTGTAAGATTGTATTGATATTATTTTTAAGTTGAGTTTATAAAATGTACATTTAAAAAAAGTTCATAACCTTCTTATAAATAATAATATTAATAAGAGCCTAGTTGGAGGTGGGGGGAGCTAGATACCTTACCTTTAAATTTTATAATAGGTGAATTCACACCAATAGCAAAACTAACAGCAAATTATTAATATAAATTAAATAAATGTGGCTTAGTGAGGCGCAGTCATAAGCTCAATTTGCGGAAACGCTCTGAGTGTATGTGTACCGGCTGGCGTTGCTAGTTCCTGGATGGGTGACCACCAGGGTTTTTAGCAACACATCCTTGCCACACATGCACAAACACATGTAACAATCCTACCCACATAAAAACCTACTAAACCTATACAAAAAAAGTCTTACCGTACCACCCCACACCCAATGACAAATGTTGCCACGGGTTTCCCCTCATAAAAAAAAAAATTAACTAAATGACTTAATACAATTAATCATTTTGGTAGTTAAGTTTAATGAAAATACCAAGTATAATTTTCATATGTGCGTAATATGTATGATCAAATATATTCAAAATCACAATTTAAATGCTTACTTTGTATGTGACATAAACCAACAGAGAATTGAGATATTTCTGGTATTTGTTTAAGAATTTCTTCAGTTACTAAATGTACGCCACTGTGTTGTGGTCTTAGATTAATTTTGCGTTGAAACCACGCTGAACCAATTTGAATTCCTCGACTCGACGATGCCATTCCAAAATATTTGCATTCACAATAAAAATTATGGCCTGTTGGTAAAATATGGATATAAATATAATAAACACAATATAGTAAGCACAAAAAACATTTGCATAATTTAATAATTTTTCAGGTACAATATAATGGGAAATAAATAACAAATTAGTTGTCCAAAGGACAAAATTATCACTTACAACGGTCATCGCTTAGTATACATTTCGTAGTGTGCGTATAACTTTAAAGTCCAATGGGTGTAGATAAAATAAATAAATATATTTTAGATTAACAAAAACACGAATAATATGTTTGATTTCGTACTTAACTAATCTAAAAAGTAAAAATTTCCAAAAGACGAGATTAAACGAAAAAAAAATGTATCAAAACAAATTTTCAGACAGTGTTACTTTGGGAAACAATAAATTCCCATTTTCCGATCATGGTTTTGCCAACCGTTACTGATCAGCGGGGCGCTGGGCAGCGCCATTAAACTTTTGAATTTATCAAAAATTGATTGTATTTTATGTTTTGTAATAATAATTTATCACACTCCACTTAATACGATTCACGGAAATAAACCACATACTTTAATATCATTAGATTTTTAAATAAGTCTTATTTTCCTATTATAAATTAAATACAGAACATATAAATCAAAACAATAAATTGTACCTATGATAAAATATATTCAATTCAATTTTTTAAATATAACTTTTAGTGGAATTCCATGTAGCCGTGGCTTACATTATTGAAAGGATAGTCAAATGAAGAAAAAGAAATAACAAATAAAAACTGTATAGACAAGTTCTATATTCTATAACAGAGGTATCTGTTTAAACTTTTTAATTTCACAGCCCTTCGTTTCTTCACAGCATTCTGGCGACTCTCAAACACAGTACACATAGACAAAAATATATTTCAATGATCAATTATTTATAACTTATATAATATATTTTATATAACTATATAAGTACATGCGTTATATCAATAATGCATAATATATAGAAAACTGAAATTAAATGTTTTACGTTTGGAATAAAATAAATAATAATATATCAACCTATTAGACTCGACAGACTGTGCGGCACAGCTTGAATACTACATTACCTCTATATAGGTCTATACCAAGTTTAGAATTATAAAATAGTACCTAATATACATAATACTTATACATAAAATATTAATATAATAATTTGTTATATAAATAAATTAAAAAGATATTAGATGTCAATCATCCTTGTATATAGACACACGCATCAACAAAGCAGATGCTATACTTTCCTAACACAAATATGACAAATGTGTACTCCCAAAACAAAGAAGAAGTATGAAAATAACATTAATAAAAAAAAAGTTAGGTATAAATAAAAAAAGATGGTTAGGTACACAAAATAAAAATTGTTTTCATATGTTTTTAATTATTCAAATGCAACTTAGTTAAATATAATTTTAATCACATTACCTATTACAATTAAGATCTGAATATCTGAATTCGTAATTAAAACCAATGTCTAATAAAATATAACATAATAATATCAAAATACATACTAGATATTTGGTTTTTTTTTGTTTGTATCTACCCACCCACAATCTATATTATAATATAGGCGTGCAATACATAAGAAGTAGGACATTATCGCAACATAGCGTAGGTGTCAAGGTCAACCCTAACCTTTTTTTTATATATATTATACTGACTATATAGTCTATACCAGTGGTCGGCAACCTTTTTGGACTCCCGGGTCATATTCATAAATTAATAAGAGTTCGCGGGCCAGACAAAAACAAAAATTTTATATTCCAAATTATTTATCAAGAAAAAAAATAACTATTTAAAACGTTAAGACAATAGAACATAAAAATTACAGTTTTTAATAATATAATTATAATACAAAAGTATGGAAATTACAACTGCTTAATTTTGTTGTTGGATATTGTTTATAATTTTTTTCAATTTCCATATTAAAATTACTTGTGCTGCCTCTAAGTATATATGGTAGAGATGGTCATCAGTTAAGCATAAACGGTGTGGGTTTTTAATTTTTTTCATATGAGAAAAGGCCTGTTTACACACGTAAGTGGATCTAACCATACTTAAGTATTTTTCAGTTGTATTTTTAATTTTTGAAAATGATGCAGGAAGTTCAGCGACAAAAAGTAAAGGCGATGCTTTGAATCCGTCTCTTTAAGATATTTCGTGGCTGCAAATCTATTATTTCCATTTGAAGCTCAACACCAACATCTTCAACATCAATATTAAAGGGATTGGCGAGTAGTCAAAAATATTGTGAATGTCCTTTGAAATCTTGAAATCGATTATTGTAAATTCTTGTTGAAGAATCGAAATACCTTCAACAAATTTAACTGATGACTGATAGAAACGTTCAATTATATAGATGTATACAATATGATTTTTTCGATATGATTCGATATATATTATATGATATTCAATTAAATTTTGTTATCGTAGAGTTTAAAGCGGGCCGTATACGATAGACGCGCGGGCCGCCGGTTGCCGACCACTGGTCTATACGAATAGCCTCAATTGCCAAAAGGTATACTATTTATCAGCTTATTACTTGGATATTTCAACGTATTTTATGGTTATAGGTACTTACATATACTTGTATTATTCAACAGGCCAACGAGAAATGTTTCATAATTAATTCAAACAAAATGCCACGGCGTCATTATTTGGAGGGAGGGGGAAGAAGGGTTAACAAAGGGTGCATTTTTCCCCGTATGTATATATATATGTGTCTAAATAAGGCACCAGTGCTGTGTTATATATTGAACTCTATCCTCTGGGAGCATGGACTTCTTGTCACCCGGCCTAGTTCTGGGGACCTCGATGCAAAAGACTATTTCGGAGCACATTTAAAAGGTATACCGTTGCATGTTTTTATTAAAAAAAACATTGCGTAAACATAATACTATCAAGTATAATTTCGTAATTTTTTTCGATGCCTAATATGCTAGGTGATATATTTATGCCATAAATATTATTATTAATTACGTATTAAATTAAATTGGACAATATATTTTGCTAGTGATGTAATGTTTTAGAATTAAAGGATAATTAAAAACCTAAATCTTAACAAAAGAATTATAACTTCAATTTTTGATCAAACTTTATGAATTGTTTTAAAAAAAATTGTTTTGGTTTGTATACTTTTTTCTAGTACATTTGGTGAAAGAGTTCAACTAAATTGTACATAGTTATAACGTAATGAGTTGTAGGTACAAAAATGTTTAATCACATAATTTATTTTGGAAGAAACTAATATATTTATTTTCGTTATTATTATTTTTTACAAATGTGTAGTAATTAAGTATACCTAATAATAATTTATAACAATCGACTTAGATGTACTTTACTCTTTTCCTAACCAATTATCGAATCAAAATTTTATAATTTCAAATAATAATTTTTTTTTTTTGAGTTTTGTATTGTCAGTTTACTCAACATTGAGAAGTTGAAATTATATTGTATTGATAAACACACTGAATTATTTCATACTTTTTTTTTTATTGATAAGATATGTTAAGTATATCCACCTTGCTATATTATTGTGGTGAAGTACAATTTGGATAAGCGATGTGCGATAGCGATGTCTTTTAATCATTAGCCAGAGCAAAGTAGGTAATCATTTTAAAAACATTCTTATCTCAAATTTAAATAAGAATTAAGCAATAAATAATAATATCATAATGATTAATTTATATTAATTAGAACTTTAAAAACTTCAAATCCATTTCATATATTAAAAAATAATTATGTTCAAACAATAAATTCTAGATTACAATGTTTATTTTTTAAAAATGTCAAATACTAGTAGTGATACTGATGAGTTTTTTGATGCTGAAGATTTTGCAGTTCGTGATCAAAAGTAAAAACGTTTTTTTAATACCATTGTTTAGTATACATTTTATAAAATAATTTTCTGTTTTATAGTGAACAATCCAAACAAACTATCAAAACCGAAAAAGAACTTTTGGAAGAAAAAAAAAAAAATATGACATTCAAAATATCAAGTGCTCCCAAATCGGTATACTTAATATTTAACATTATTTTTCAAGAATTGTTTATAAAAATAATTATGCTAGGTTTCAGAGCACAATGGTCGCCGTAAATTCAATGAAATTCGGCAGCACATGCAAATTGATGAAGACGAAATGCAAGCTGTATCTCCAACAGAAAGTCAAGCCTCATCAGCTGATGGAGTATTCTTAGCACCTTCACATAGACCTAGTCATCCTTTTAGAGTTATTGAGCCTGATGGAGCATCTGTGCAAAGTATATTATCCTTGGGCAAAGTTGGTCGATTATTGGGAAGTGTTCCTACTGATCATTTCATAGGTGTGTATATTAAATTATTGTATGTATATTTTTTTTAAATAAAATTTTTTAAAGTGGTTTTAAAATGAAGTAACTTTTAGGAAAAGAATCTGCTCTACGGCCATCAGAAAACAATAAATTATCTGAACCGGACACACCTGTTTCTATTGAAGAAAAACCTATTGTACCTCCTGAACCTTTTACAGCTTTCCATGAACCTGATGTAATTGCAAGCACAAAATTTTCAAATAATGGTACTGTTAGTATAGATACTGATAGACCTATTGCCCCTCCAAGACGACGAAGACGCAAACAAATAAACATTTCAATTGAAAACGATGGTGCTAAAATAGAAGATAATTCAAATGTACATATTATATTAAGTTACAGAATCAATTTAAGGGTTATATTTATTTATTTAATATTTTCAATAGAAATTGAATATTGAAAAAGATGAAACTAGTGTCAATTGTTTAACAAGTCCAGTGAGTACTATAGAATCACTGACAAGAGAATTAGAGCATTCGTTAGATCTTCATTCTGCTACCAAAGGTCAATACATTGTAAATCATCATGTAAGTAACATTTTATTTTAGTTTTTTGCTTTATTTATGAGTTATCACATTCTGTAAATAACTTTTTCAATTAGTGTAATTGTAGGATATCTGTATGAGATAGTTTAAAAAAAACATGCTTTCAGAAATATGTTGACTTTACTCAACTTGCAAGAATATTTTTAAATATTGATATAAACTAAATATTTTGCATTTTTAGGATAGAGAAAAACCAGTTCTTAATATCATTAAAGAAGCAATTGAAGAAGTAAAAGAAAAATCTAAAACAATTGCTTCGCATAGTAATACCTACCCAATGGCTGGTTCAAGTGGTATAACTTCTAATCGATCTTGTAATCGTGTTGCTTCACGGGAACGTCGAAGATCAGCTGGCGATGAGCAGGAGTTAAGAGATCAGCAGCTAAATATGTTTTTAAAAACTCATACAGATTCCGGGAAAAAATTAACTGATATAGTGAGTATTTTTGATTAATAAATATGACTGTAATAAATTATAAACTGATTTAAAAATAGGAAATACTGGAACAAATAACTGTGCTAAATTTGGATACCGGGGAAAGAGTTCCACTAAGTATAGCTGAAGATAAATTACCACAATGCATTAACCCATTATCTCTACATATAATGCGCTTAACATCAGAATATGTAAGCACTCCAAATTTAGATTCCCATTCATTTAGAACGAATTCTATTAAGAAACTTAAAGAATCTGATGAAGAAAGCATAGGCAGTAAATCTAATGATACAGTAGCTACTGAACGAGATGATCCTGTTGATGAATCTGCCATACGTCGTCGCACAGCAAGAATCAAACGATTTTTGGGTACTACTGTTAAAAAAACTGTAAATAAAGCTAGAACTATCGCACATGAAGTATCACATGTAAGGCACAAAGAAGATGTTATGGAGATTGTAGATTTAGTAGAAAGGCCACAGCCCGCAACTGACGTTCCTAATGCTCCTCAAGTTAATGAAACATTCAAATTGAGAGCATCAAATAGCCATAAAGGACCCTATGAATTTGATTCTGTTCAGCATGTTCAGGTTAGTCAATTAAAACAAACAATTTTAAATACGTAAATTTATTCTGCTTAAATTTTTTTTAGGAATTCTGCCATGAACATACTGGTCCTGTATGGTGTATGAAATTTTCTATGTGTGGTAGACTATTGGCTACTGCTGGACAAGACCGTGTACTTCGAGTTTGGGTTTTGCGAGATGCTTATAAAGATTTTCACGAAATGCGAAAAAAATATGATGCTGATAAAGTTTCTCCAACCCCGTCAACAGAATCTTTAGTTTCTCAACTCTCAGTAGATGATCAATCATTTTCAGCTGATCCAGATGATCGTGGGCCATTTATGTCACGTCCATTTTGTACTTACACAGGACATCGTTCTGATTTGCTGGATATAGCTTGGTCAAAAAATTACTTTGTTCTGTCATCATCAATGGACAAAACTGTTAGACTATGGCATATAAGCAGAAGAGAATGTTTATGTTGTTTTCAACATATTGATTTTGTGACAGCTATATGTTTTCATCCACGTGATGATCGATATTTTTTGAGTGGATCACTGGATGGAAAACTTCGTCTTTGGAATATTCCTGATAAAAAAGTAGCTGTTTGGAATGAAGTTGAAGGACAGACTAAACTCATAACTGCTGCTAATTTTTGTCAAAATGGTAAATTTGCTGTTGTAGGTTCATATGATGGTCGGTGTATATTTTACACAACAGATCAATTACGGTATCATACCCAAATACATGTGCGTTCTACCAGAGGCCGAAATTCAACGGGGCGCAAAATTAGTGGTATTGAACCAATGCCTGGTGAAGATAAAGTGTTGGTAACTTCGAATGACAGCCGCATTAGATTATATGATCTCAGAGACTTAAATCTGTCTTGCAAGTATAAGGGCTATGTTAATATAAGTAGTCAAATCAAAGCTAGTTTCAGTCACGACGGAAAATACATTGTATGTGGGTCAGAAAATCAATGCATATATGTTTGGAAAACCCATCATGACTATTCAAAATTCACATCAGTAAGACGAGATCGAAACGATTACTGGGAAGGAATCAAAGCTCATAATGCTGTTGTAACATGCGCAATTTTCGCCCCTAATCCAGAAGTGGTGTTTAGACAAATGAAAACAGATGAAAATAGTAGCCAAGATGGCTATGTTTTTGTAAGCGCAGATTTTAATGGTTGTATACGTGTATTTGTCAATCGAATGAAACCTAAACATAGTTCGTTACCAGCCAGTGCTATGGCATAATTTTATTCAACCAGAATTGGAATTTTTATTTTAATATTACAATTTTATGCTTGGCTTCGTAATGTAAATAAAAAAACTTTGATTATTGAAATAAATTTTATATGTTATTAATTAGTGACAATTTTAACTATTAGAAAATAATAATTATACTATTATAGTAATTATTAGCAGATGGTGAGGTTTAATTAATTTTAATTTGTTACCATTATTTTATAACAAAATGTATTTTAAATCAATTTGGCTTCTGGTAATATTGTTTTTATGAATGTTAAATATTTTTTAATACATTGTCGACAAAATAATATATACTCTTCTGTTTTTTAATTATTTACTTAATATGTCACCATTAATCCTTAATTTTGAAAGATTAATAATTTTACCCTACACAAAAAATGTAATTTGTTCATGGTTAATGGTTTAATTGTATTGTTTTAAAGAATTATTGTACTTATCGTCGCTATTAAACTCCAAATAATATTGTCCTGGTGTATACCAATAAATTGGAAAGTGTTGGAAGTATCTGTGATGCATATAGACTATAGTCTATAATAGTATGTAAGTACAAAATAACCATTGATTAATATTTATTAATTATTTTTAATTGATTATTGTATTATCCAGTCAGCATAACTAATTAAATCTATTTCATCTATTTGGTATCTGACGTATGATTATAGGAAAGTTCACTTTAGTGTTGGTAACATTAGTGAGCTAGTCGAATAAATCTTATCTTTTACACCATAATATTGACCTATCCACAAGACCAAAATAAATTATCTCTATTAAAGGCAGATTTCATAAAATAAATTTATTTGCACATTTTTGGACATAAAGTTTAATTTAAAAATGTAATTTTTCATAATCAAAGTATCATAATGAAATTATCTAATCTATACAAACAATATATATTTTTATGATTGTGGTTTCCATTTATTTTCATAATTGTTTATCAGAAGACTCTTATACTTTTTTAATTTTACATCTAATTCGTCTCCATTTAATTTGGCAGACAATACTTCTACTCTTGATACTAAAAGAAAATCTGGATTATTTGGACTAGGACCTTTCACAAAATCCACCTCATCTCCTACTTCTAATGCGTGGCTTTTCTTCAGTACTTTTTCTCCATTCACGCGGATACGGCTTTCATAAAAAGCTACTTCAATTTTACTAAAAACAAAAACAAGTTGATATTTTAATAAAACGACAATCATAATATTTATAGAGACATTCCAGACACATTACTTTCTAGACTTTCCTAGTGCGTGTTTTAGGACAGTATCCATTCTCATTGTACTGGTCCTGAATTTAACCAACTGACTGGATTCGTCCATTTCTAAATCAAATTCATCGTCAGTATCCTGATCGTTCTACAAAAGGAATAAAGAAATCGATAATTATAGATTCATGGTCGGGGGGGTTAATTGGTTTGGTCAGACATTACTTCTTTTTTTGTACGTTTGTAACGTCTGCCCGTGTTGATACATAGAAATTTGTTTGCTAGAATTGGCTGTCGACATTGATAGCAGATACTCCTAATCCAAGGTTTGTTCAAAACTGAAGACCGCAATCCAGTCGGAACGGCGGTCGATGAGAGTCGGAACAAAATCCTTAGAGTATTGAACATTTTGAATATCGTTTGAGACTACTAAAATCCGTAATAACTAATATCATAGAACAAAAATATAATTTAAGGGTAATACGATTGTTCGAGCTACCGAAAAAATGTAAAATATAAAATGTCTAAACGCTAAAACGTAATATTAATTCGGAGTATTCTAAAATTGTGGACATTTGTCAATTGAAATTCGGAAACGGGAATATTATCATCTACTCGTTATCAAATCTCGACGCTATGAGATAACAGTATCAATTCCAAACAACAACACTGCAGCAGCTGTTGGCTTGGCTCTCGTTGACGGCATTTAAATAAAAGTATTTTCCACTATACATTCGACCGGGAGCGGCGGCGCGCTCCTGTAATCCGGCTGCTCGGAGGTCGGATTGCGTGGATGGTTTGAGGTGGGGGCAACTGTGGCGGGACGTTCCGCGTTGAACGGACGTCCGCGCTAAGCTTGTCGTCAATATGGATCCGGCGGGGTAGCCCATCGGATCCAGGTTAGCTAAGGCGAGGCGAACCGGGCCAGGGGGGAAACCCAGCAGCCAAAAGTCTCCGCGGTGAGCAGTAGCGGGATCGCGTCTGCGAGTAGAACACCCGTTTGCAGCCCCGCCAACACAATCAGACCGCAATCTATAATTTTTTGCATTTTTTTCCGCGGTTTTTTGCATTTTTTCCACGTTTTTTTTTTCATTAATTTTAGTTGACTCGACTTTGTACTTAATCTTCAAGTGACAATTGAATACAATTGAGAGTTAACTAATAATAGACAATATCGATTTAAAATGGTTTTTTTTTTTTAAAGGTTTATTTATTGAGTTACTTAGTCAAAAAGTTTACATTTTACCCCGAGGTCTGCCCTGCCTCAGTCACAATAACTTAGTAACTAGTTAGGTTAAAATAGATTTTTATGATCAAAAGAAGTTTAATTCGTGATAAATAACATGAATGTTTGAAACATATAATGTAGGTGCGTGGCGAGTGCAATAAAAACGATAATAATGTATACGTCATCTGCTCGATACCAAATCGTGGTTGCATGATCACGAATGATGTGTAACTACTAACTCATGTATTTTCTGTACCTAAAATAATGTCTGTTGTTTTAACAACTAACGATATTCCAATATTATTATACATGTTAGTTAAACCAACAAGTTATTGTGATATTATAGATAATTAAAATGCAAATCCAACAACGCCATTTTATAATAAAATTACTAATTGAATTCTATATACAAAAAAAAAAAATGTTGAACTAGATGTACGTATTGCACGTACTTACTTCTAATATTTTTTTAATTAAGAATATCTATTGTAACAAATATTTATGAATGTTTAAAATTAAATGGAACCCTTACCATTTATAGTAATAGTTACTTTCATTGATGTAACTATGTGAGTAACTAAAATGTAACATAAATACATATCTAAAGTTAAAATTATATGCATATAAAGTATTTAATTAACTTATACTAATCTTGGATTGAAACATTTTATTGGTATCCTTAAAAGTATTGATTGGTCTAAATATGTATTTAATTGACAATTTGTTATCATTAAAATTAGGCAAGTCATATTTAAATTTATTCGTGTATAATATGGTGTATCCATTTCAATCATTTGTTTTGCATGAAATCGTTTTACAAGTATAAATATAGTTGGGAGAAAATCAATGGCTTTTTTGATTTAATAAAATTCCTTATTTTGGAGCAACAAATTATTATCACATTAATTTGTATAAATATATATCCTATGTCCTATATTATATAATATATATCATATAATAAATATTACTTTAAGTGGGGGGACAAAAATGTTTAATTTTTCCTCCTCAACTCTCATTTACACTTCATACAACCATGAAACTTTAATGTAGAGACTTAATAACGACATAACGTCCATATTATAACTTTTATATTTAAAACGAAAATCAGTATGAATACCTATAGATACTTTCTGATCAGATATCAAGTGCGGTTAATGCCGAGTGAGAACAAATTTTAAATTTATAATAATTCCTTGGTTTATTTTTCGATTGATATTTGTACTTATACAAAAAAAAATATATAATATACATACATTATAAATTAAAGTAACGCCTTGCCGAATATATTTACAAGTGTGAAACTTTGAGTTTAGTAGTGCAAGTATATATCTATGTATCATACTTGCCAAATTATTTTGTCGTACAATTTAAAATAAAATCCTTAAAATATTCTATATTTAATGCGATATGAGGTCATTAACTATTGAGTATTGGGTTTACGCTAAAAGAGCATAATATTAATATATGCGTAGATATATACCTAATAGCATATTTTCAAGAACAAGTCTATAAAATGAAAAGTCTTATTTCAGACCTCGAGGCACACGGTCGTTAAAAAATAGTTTGGAGAACTGAAAACATTAAAGCAGATCTAAACAACATATTATAAGATATCTGTGCACACAATAATTTACAACTTGACCGCTAGTAATGTTATTTCAATTTTATATAATACACAATATTGTTCACACTTTGCTAATCTCTGTATACAAGCAATATAAACTCTTTATAAACATAATATTGTGAAATAATGTTACCATTTTTTACGTTTCCCGAAAAACTGTTTCAAATTTTAATAATTTTGTCGAAGTTTGAATAAAACAAAATAATAGCTTCTGTTTTAAAAAGTACCTAAATGTACTTAAATGTATACTCAAACCAGTCACACTTTCAATGACACGTCAAATAAATTGTGTAACAATAATACTATATAATAGCTTTTTTTGTTATTATTTATTATTGCTATTACAGATATTTCCATATGCTTAATACAAAACATCAAGTAAATAAAATTAATATATTCAAAAACATGGAAGGAAATCGATCTCTTTTAATTAAGACCAAAATCAAGGTGAAATACTTATATCAAATAAAACAAGTGAACACAATAATAAACATATTATTATACTGTTGAATTATTTATATTTTCATAGACATAGTGCGCAACAATAAACGCACAAATACTATTAAATAATTATAATCATAAATAAATTTAATGAAAAAAATCGTGCAAAAGTTAAATCATCTTGTGAGTGTTAATATGGGTAGCTAGATTGTTCATAATGGGCAACCGTGTCTCTTATCCAATCCGAGTAACAAGACACTGCAGTGTAGACTCCAGGGTAGGTCGGGTGAGCACAACCTAGTCCCCAGCTGACGATACCGCACAGGTAGAAACGGTTGTCTTCGGCCAGACAAGTCAGTGGGCCACCGGAATCGCCCTGTGTATAATCACAAAAAAAATCATCAAATTTTATAACCACTAAAAACACTATAGGACTTCAACAACCCCATCAAACGATTATTAATTTTTAAAAAAAAATTACCCATAGTGTCCGCATATTATATTATAGGCGCCTACATGAATATATTAAAATAAAGATCATAATATAATACATCTCATTTTTTTTATGGTTAGGTGAATGATGGGAGGATGAGAGGCTCGCATTAGGTGGTTAAAATGCGTTGGTAGAAAATACCCATATGATTATATGAATCTTAATTCATTTGCGAGATTTATAATACATATAGTTTGGCTCAATAGCTAATGGAACGACGTAATATAATTATATTACACAGTGTTTAATAAAATAATATTATTATGTCTGTGTGTACTTGACAAGAATCCGCCTCGTTGTCCGTCGTTCCTGCGCCGCAGACCACACACTGACTGACGTAATTACCGTAACCGGCGTTGTTGTACAAGTTCAGACAGTCATCCACCGCGATCAGAGGCAGTCGAACTTTCTGCAGGACGTGCGCGAATTTTCCGTTCTCCGACAACCGTCCCCATCCTGTGACCACCGCCAAAGCTACAAAAGAAATACACACAATATGACCGAGTATAATTACCAGACGTGTGCATTATATGATATCCGGATATCCGGTCAGATTGTGTATGCGATCAGTGGCGTGCTCAATTTTTTTGAAAGGCGCGGGGAAGATATGCATTTTTGATTATTCACAGACCGCGTTATACTGCGGTGTAAATACTGTCATTGCTTTATTACATATATTATTTTATATTAAAAAAATTAGCCAAAGGGGGGATGATATGACACCCCCCCTCCCCCATCACCAGCGAGAGCACTCCGCTGTATACGATCATACTGTAAATTTTAATAACGGGAATAAGGGATTTTAGACTGCAGCAACTATATTATAGGGTCTTCCAAAATGTACGTATTCAAAATCTCTGCTGGGAATCACATATTATATTAGACCATTAAAGCCGCAGTATACACTATCCATCGAGGCTCGGTAACGTGATATTTGTACGACTCTGTATACACACATGTGCACAACAAACATAAATTAGTTATCGCCGGCTAATATTTTCACTTAATCACCTACAGATGTACATTTTCAAGCAAAACTATTGGAGAAGGTACATAATTTATATTAGTATACCGAGGCCATCCCTACTGGCAACTATAAATTGAAACCCACTATTATATATAATAATAAATATTGTACTATTGTGAGTACTGATAAAATATTGGATATTAAATTGTAATTTTTAACTATATTTTAATAGCATTGACATTTTCAACGATCGATTGACCACCACCTGTCAAAGCAAACTTTCAACGAATACCGAAATTCAGTCAACAGGTTGATAAAAAGGACCACAACAAGTTTGTCATTCTTAGCATTTCAACAGGACAAGTGGCAGGCAATGTGTATTTTTATTTTGCGTTTTAATATTAATTAATAACCGATAGGACATGTTACCGTGTATATTTCAAAACAATATAGTATCTATACTACCTATATTCTCCAATAAAAATCAACTGTTTCGAAATATTCCTCTTAAGTGTCAATAATTTACAACTATAATCAATATATTATCAGATGTACTATGTAACTATTGTATTATTGTTATGGACAATGGTATACAATATCTGTATATATCAGAATACCAGTATACTCAATGTCTATTATTACCATTTTCGAATCGTGTCTCCGGTCTTGGGACACAAATCGGAGACACGTGACTCCCATCGAACACCAACGCCGGATTTACCCTGAGCAACGCAATGTCTCTGGAAAACCATTTCTGGTCGAACCCGTTTAAACGTATGTCAGCGACATTCACTCTCTGGTCGTAATCTTTCGGGAAAAAAAAAACATTTTTAAAACAATTTGTCCAAACGAAAGATACGTGAAATCGTTTTAAGGAAAAACCACTTACTCTCGACCTTGTAAAGGTCGTTTTTTCCGGCCACCACGGACAGCTTGTTTTTGGACTGTCCGTACACGCAATGCGCTGCCGTCAACACCCAATTTTCATTGATTACCGATCCACCACACACATGTCTGGCCGTCATACCGGTGACGAGTTGCAAAGATATCTGCCACGGGAACTCGCCTGTATACGTGACATAAACAGGGTGATTATATAAGCGTATTCGTGCTCTGTTTTTAGACTTAATAATCGTATAGATTTATTTAAATTCGGATGTTGACCTATATACCTATCACGAAGACCTGCACATATATTATATTCTTAAATACTTTTTTTACAGAATCTATAACAACCGACATGTGGTCGTAACATAATTTTTTTCTTAAAATACACTCTATTTTTTCAGCGAATTGTCCATCAGTAGATTTTTTTTAAATGTTGAAAATCAAAATTTGAACGAGTAATTAGGTAACGATGCAGTATTTAAGTCCGATTGCTAACAAAAGTTATAGATGCGTGAACACTGAACAGAGTGGTTAGTACGTTGGTTTAGGTAGGTAGCAATTAAATTCAAATTTAGTACATAATGTATAATAATTATAATAAATTATAAAACCGCAATAAAATAATAAAATGCGTATTATATATCGTCGTGCAATCTTTATTACCTGGTATCGAATCCATACCGCCGACTATTCGACTATTGCCGTCGGACCTCGACCATTCACTCGTGCCCTGAACACCACAAGGCACAGAGTAGTTCAGAAAGCTAGAAATAAAAAATCCAACATAATATATTATCAACTATCATTATGCATTACCTAAAATACAATTTTAACACATCAGTGTAAGGTGCATTACAAATCCTATCAGTGTAGCATAAATGCATAATATAATATAGGAAGTGTTGGTAATTTATAGATTTAGGTACTCGTGTAATTCTTCGACGTTGTTCGTAACATCTATAGTTTGCTCGATATAGTTTTCATTTGAACTCGTGAATTCTTGGGTGAATTCTTGGGTGAAGTATTGGTAACTAGTGAAATAATCACGGAAATAATCATTCCAATCGTACAGATCATCAACGAAGTAGAAGTTTTCTCCAGATTTAATTTTTGAATTTGATTCCAACATACGATCTCCTAAATAAGTTATCAAATAAATATTAAACAAACTCTAAACAAATGTATTTACAAATGGCTGTAGGTAGATGTAATATACCGGCAATGCATTTTGTTGCAGCCGTGTGCTGCAGTATTGCTAGACCAAACAGAGTGACAACGATCATGATCGACTACTGGACTACAGACTTATTTTTATTTAAATAACACTGTTAAATGTTTTGCCTTAAGGCCTAGTCAGTCAGCTGACAGACATCATTTTCTAAATATTGCTTTTGTTATCGTAACGTCTTCTAATCTTCTATAGGTATAAGTAATAAGTTATGTAACGCTAATAGTGAAAAATAACTTTGGCACATAATATAAATAAAATAAAAATGTTCTAAACAATTTATTGGGCATTCAACAAATTACAAATATAATATAATATATAAATATAGGTACATAAATCACATCAAGTTATTTTTAAAAATCAATACATAGTTAAAATAAATAAATATAGGTACATATAAATTAATAATACTGCATTTTTACACTAATTTCCGGTATAAATTATTCATAACACAATATAATATGACGTATTGTATGTGCTATCGATATCGTACTGCAATATCCAAATCTTTTGGTTGTTCCACAAGTAATTTTTTGCTCGTTATTGCTTCGTCTGTTAACACAATTATAAAGTATGATTTTACACATAAATATATAGGTATATATCTGTAAAATAGGAGTAATAATAATAATAATTACCATTGGACGACAGCGTATTAAAACTGTCCAGTTTTTTTCTACGTTTCACTGGACTGATGGCACATTGAGCAGAACCTTTACAGCGGACCATTTCTGAAAGCGAATCTCGAAGCCATTCCTTTTCTTTGGGTTCTAAGGTGTAAGCTCGATTCCGCTGTTGGAATGGATCGATCTTCATATTGTAAAACGTCACTAGCCCGGTGACGAATTCGCAGTATAGGAAATTGTGTGTGGCATTAATCGTACGAAGACATGAATATGTGTTGTTATTCGCGTTCATACAGAAACAAAATGGTCCCTCTGTAGAAAGAAAACAGACAAAAAAGTTGAAATGGTTAGTGACGATCTTTTGTACAGTACATAATTATTATTATTTATCATATAGTCTGATGACTGATTGTATAGTTTTTCTCGCACAAACATCTAAAATTCGTCAAGATAATTAATATTTCATTAATAATTATTAATTTTATAGGAATCATATTCTTCAGTCTAAGACTTTGGAGTCTTAGACTGATGAATATGTATGCTTAGCAAATTCTAAAAATGTTATATTTCAAATTGTTTTTTATATATTTATTATATTCTCTTCTTTTAATTGTGAATAGTGAACTCGATATAAATACTAGATGTATAAAGTTTCACGAAAGAGATTCCTCTTCATATTGTTTTTCAAAATGTTATCCATATGTATAATGTAGGTACATTACCGAGGTACAAAATAATATAATATTATTCACCGATTACCACGATTAAAATAGGTAAAAATTCAAAATAATAAAGTATATTATGCCAAACAAATCAATTACCATGAGGAATCAAATATTAAATCGATTCAATTTTAAATATAAACATACTTTCCAACATTATTCTCGTACATAAAATAAATTATTTATTTAATTTTAATACATAGTGTCATTTGTTCTTAAATGTATATTTCATAAGTATATTTTTTTAGTTTGTAACATAAAAATAGATTGGTTAAAATAATGAATAATAACCTATATATAATACCAATCAATAATATATAATTTGTCTATGTATCATATGATTGAACATTAAAAATGTGTAGTAGGTACGAATTTTTATGAAAAATAGGGGCTAGTGAAATCTAATACTAAAAATAATAAAATGTATATTTGTCAGCCTCTGCAGCTTAGACGTTTTATTTTTATTATTATATTGACATAATAACTACATGAGACATTTGTGTTTATTTATAAATAGCATTAAATATAATAGTACCTACATTACCGCTAATAACGAAATAGGTACATGTCTGTAAACAACTTCTTGACCAATTAGTCTTAATAAGAATCACCTGCCTATCACCTACCAGCTACAAATATTATTTATAATATACTAATAATAATTTATAAAAACAAATTTTCGTATTTAAGTAGGTAGGTAGGTACTGGGTAGGTACCTAATATTATGTTATGACATTTTTATGATGGAAAGTTAATTAAAATTTTAATAATAATAAAAATATATCGCTTAGATGATCTTATGCGATTGTCATCATGATATACCAACAGTATTTCGAATAAATAGTGAAAACCTGTTTCTATCCAGTATAGGTATCATATTATACTAATTATTAAGAACATTACCTGTCCAAAGTGGTGCGGTCCGCCAATGATCATTATCATGATTAAAACAGTTCATTTTTTCTAACATACACTCCTTGTTAAGCTTAGAGTTTTTTTTACGAAATTTTCGTCCTTTTTTCTTTTGTCTATCAGCTTTCAGCAACTTTTTTACTTCCTTATTTAGTGCAGGATCATTATCACTAAACCTTTTATATAAAAATCAAAATAAATTAATACTAATAAGAATTTATAGGTATGAATTAAGTAAATTATTGAATATGCTTACATAAAAGGCACACAATAACAAGTGTCCGCAGAAGTATTTTTAGTTTGTGATTTATGCCCATGATGTCTAAAAGTATGAGGTTCAACTCCATCTACAAGTAAGCTACCAGGACTCATGCTATAATTATGTACTGGTACCATCCTGTGTAATATATTGTAATGAATGTCAAAAAGTCAAGTAAAAAGTCTTATTAAACTTTCTCATTAAAATAATTAATATTTTACAGACCTAAGATTCCATTGTGTTTGGGAGTAATCTGTTGGCAAATTATCAGAATCTTCTTCGTTTAAGTCATCTTCTGTGTCGTCATCTTCTTCATCTTTGTCATCAATATTTGGTCGCTTTGTTTCAAGGTGTTTTTGTATTTCTTTAAGTTTTTCTAATTTTTTTTGCAAACTTGAAATTTGTTTTTGTACACGATTCTGACTGAATTTCCAAACTTTCGGATTGTTATATACAATATTTGTACACTTAACATCGCCATTAGGAGTAACTGTACAGCTTGCTAGAGCAGAATCATTAACCACTGTCATTGACCGTAAGTCATCAATTTGTTTGTTCAATACATTTTTAATCGAAGACATATTATTAATAAGAGGAGCCATAATATCTCTGCGAAAACGGTCTCTATAATTGGCCACTTTCAGATTTCTGAAAAGTTTTAAATTTAATAATTATTAAAATAAAAACCTTACAATATAAACAATAATTGTTTACTTGGAATTATATTTTTTGTTTTTATCCATTTCAAGCTTAGTGTATAAATTTCCATCAGCAGAAAAGCAAGTACATTTTTTAAGTCCATTTAGAAGTCGATTACGGTTTTTTAGATTACACTTATGTTTTCTCCATCTACATAACATATAATAAACATTATATATAAACACATACATATTTTCTTATAAAATACAATGACTTACCTGAATCCATCACGAACACAATGCCACTTTTGTCCAGGTTTGCATGGAGTCTGGTAATCTGATCTCTGACATAATACAAATAGTTCACTGGCTTTGTTACCAGCAACAACTCCCAAATCATCTTCAATACTAAAATCTTTTTTTTTTTAAACAATATTAATTTTTAAAATTTTTTTTTTAGTTTAATAGGAAATTTACCATTGTTAATTGATGGTGATACGATTGTAGACAATTTTTTGTGTTTATTATGTTCCCTTCGGCCACTGCTTTCAATTAAAAACGTATCAGGCCAGTGGGCGACAAACTTTTTATTGCCCTTTTTATGTTTATGGAATAATTTAAAAGCAGAACGGCCATCCATATGAGCAGGAGGATTAAAACCGGCAATGTCCAAAAAAGTAGGTGCCAAGTCTATGTTAAGAAATATTTCATTTACTCTAAAATAATTAGATTAAATTATTAATACATAAGTTTAGGATAAGTGAATAGATACATTTAAATATTTAATATACTTATGTACTTACTTTGTTCCAGGTTCAATGCCAGGTCCTCTTACCAACATTGGAACACGTACATCAAACTCAAATGGAAAAGATTTACCTTTAACTAAACCGAATTGACCTAAGTGATAACCGTGGTCAGAAGTATAAATAATATATGTATTCTCTAATTCGCCTAACTGCTTCAGTTCTCCATAAATCTAAAAGGTAATAAAAAGAAAATATAAAAATAAATAACGAATAAATTAAAATTTTTTATTTTTATTTTCACTTACTCTAGATACAGCATCGTCTACACTTTGCAATGTTTGCAACCGTTTTGTCATTAATAGATTTGTGAATTTTTTATGGATTGGCAACATTTGGCCTGTTGCTTGTAAAATCCACTGTTTGTCTGGATTAGGAGCATAGTCATATGTAGGAGTGCTGCAAATAATAAAAAATATTTAAATATAAATAAGATTAAAATTATAAGTCAAGGATTTTAAGGATTAGAGCAAGCAAAAATATCTAAACGATTTATTACGATAGGTTCCTAACTTAATTCCAAGGATAAATATTGGAAAAATTTTTAAAACTCTAATTTACTTTATGACTGAATGATCTTATATTTAATATAAACTTTAAACTGAAATTAATAACCATAGGAAATGTGTATTCCAAAAATCCAAACACAATGGGTTTTTACAAAAAATATTTGTAACATTTTATGATTTATACAAAAGAAATTACCAAACATCATTGTAATATTGTCTGTTTCTATTGTTTTTTTCATAATATGATTTTACTTTTTAAAATATTTAGTGCTACTGTAGACTAGAATATAATAACTTTCAAATAGTTTTTTAACAGACCATTACTATTGTTATTATTTATTAGTAGCAAAAGACGGTTCAAAATGTGTCTAGCAAGACATAGAATTAAAGACAGTTAAAATAACAGGTTTAATTTAATGTTTAGTACACATGAACCGGTTTCATTCACAAATTGTGCAGATGACTAGTTAGTAGTTACCACCCACGACTTCGTATAAATCTCAGAATGAGTTTAGACTTACTGGTGTGAAGTCACGTTAAAAAACATATCAGAGTATTGAGGTGCAGAGTCTTCGGGCCCGTGAGGTGATGGAAAGCTCATCACAAGCATAAATGGACGATGAGGGTGGTGCTGTTTCGCATGTTGAAGAAAGTTTATTGAGTCGTTGGTAACCAAATTTGGATAGTAATCCTATAAGTGAATAACAAGTTAAACGATTAATCCCATTTAACAGTTATAAACTTATA